AGGACTAAAACAGGGGTTAAACCAGGTCTATACAAGGGACTGTACGAGGATTATTCCAGGACTAAAAAAAGACCCAAACAGGACCAGACCAGGACTAGACACGTGGCTACACCAGGGGCTAAACCAGGTCTAACCTTTGACTGATTTAGGGCTAGACTAGGACTAAACCAGGACTAAACCAGAACTAAACCAAGACTAAACCAGGACTTCATCTATAATTGAATTCTTTGACATAGTTTGACTCGTTTTAATTGTCGTCCTGGTTCTTGTGCTTGTCAAATGTTCTTGTGAAACTAGATGTTTAATACAGTTTGGGGTTTCGCGGCTCATTACAAAGTGAACTCCATAATATAATCTGGTTTATTATAATTTATCTCTAACAATTCTTCTGAGTTTGATTTCTGTTTTTTTTTTTTTTATGTGAAAAGGGACCATTGCTTCATCAACAATCTAGATTTTAGTTTAAAGATTAAGACAAATTAATGAAAAAAAAAAATTAAATCAATTCTAACTTGCCATTTTTAAAGGTTCTATGTGAGACAAAATACAACGAAACTGCAGCAGTAATATTAAGGTGCTAAACAAGGTCTAAATCAGGGCTAAACCAGGACTAACACAGGGACTAAACCAGATCTAAATCTTGGACAAAATCAGAACTAGACTCAGACTGGGACTAAAGCAGGTTTAAAGTTTGTCAGGGTTAAATCAGGGGCTAAACCAAGACTGAACAAGGTCAAAGCCAGGGCTAAACCAGGGCAAAACAAGGTCTAAAACAGGGACTAAACCAGGTCTAAAACAGGAACTAAATCAGGTCTAAAACAGGTTCTAAACCAGGGCTAAAACAGGTTCTAAACCAGGGCTCAACCAGGTCTAAAACAGAGGCTAAAACAGGGACTAAATCAGGTCTAAAACAGGAACTAAACCAGGGCAAAACAAGGTCTAAAACAGGGACTAAACCAGGTCTAAAACAGGTTCTAAACCAGGGCTAAACCAGGGCTAAAACAGGTTCTAAACCAGGTCTAAAACAGGAACTAAATCAGGTCTAAAACAGGTTCTAAACCAGGGCTAAACCAGGGCAAAACAAGGTCTAAAACAGGGACTAAACCAGGTCTAAAACAGGAACTAAATCAGGTCTAAAACAGGTTCTAAACCAGGGCTAAACCAGGTCTAAAACAGAGGCTAAAACAGGGACTAAATCAGGTCTAAAACAGGAACTAAACCAGGGCAAAACAAGGTCTAAAAACAGGCTAAAACAGGGACTAAATCAGGTCTAAAACAGGTTCTAAACCAGGGCTAAACCAGGGCTAAAACAGAGGCTAAAACAGGGACTAAACCAGGTCTAAAACAGGAACTAAATCAGGTCTAAAACAGGTTCTAAACCAGGGCTAAACCAGGGCTAAAACAGAGGCTAAAACAGGGACTAAATCAGGTCTAAAACAGGAACTAAACCAGGGCAAAACAAGGTCTAAAACAGGGGACTAAAACAGGAACTAAATCAGGTCTAAAACAGGTTCTAAACCAGGCTAACCAGGGCTAAAACAGGTTCTAAACCAGGGCTAAACCAGGTCTAAAACAGAGGCTAAAACAGGGACTAAATCAGGTCTAAAACAGGAACTAAACCAGGGCAAAACAAGGTCTAAAACAGGGACTAAATCAGGTCTAAAATAGGGACTAAACCAGGGCAAAACCAAGATTAAATCAGGACTGAAAAAGGTCTAAATAAGGTCTAAACTAGGGACTAAATCACGTCTAAAACATAAACTAAAACATGGCCTAAACCAGGGCTAAACCAGGACTATACTAGGGACTAAATCAGGTCTAAAACATGGACTAGGCGAGGGCTAAACCAGGACTAAACCAGATGTGAGCGTTGCTGTTGGTTTGTGTGGAGCCGCCCGCAGTCTGGCTCGGACTCCATCTCGCTTTACCCCGTTTTCCCGACTCCTCTCACATCTCCTCCTCGGTCTCTCGGTCTCTCGGTCTCTCGGTCTCTCGGTCTCTCGGTCTCTCGGTCTCCCGGCTCTCGGCTCTCGGCCCGGTGGTCCTGTCGGCTCTGGTCCTGCTCTCCCTGTCAGACGTCTGATCTGCGGAGGGATAGAGTCAGGTGCTCGGCCGCTGCAGCACAACTTTAGACGTGAGAGTTCTGCTCGTGAATAAGTTTATAAAGGAAACAACATTTTAACACAAACACAGACCAGAAAATAGTGTCACATATGAGATCTTTAATGTTTATGTGATTCTTGTATTAGTTTATCAGTTCAGATTTCAGTTTTTTCGCTCCTGGGCTGCGTTTAAAATCTGCACCGTGATCTGTCAAAAAATCAAAATCACTAAATCTGTCGAGAAATCAAAGAAAATGTGATAATTTTCCAGATTCGTTCAGGTTTTCAGAGCCAGTTTCTGTGTCTTGCGAAACCTTTTTTTTTTTTTTTTTTTTTTTTTTGTTACTGTTGGAGCGAATTCAGATCTATCACACTACAGCAATGCACCAATCCTCTCTCTCTCTCTCCTTCTCTTTCGCTTTCTTCCTTGCTCTCGTCTCACCTCCTCTCTCTTCCTTCTCTCTTTCTCTGTTTCTCTCTGTCTCTTTCTCCCCCCCTCCTCTCTCTCCTTGTCACTCCTTTTTCTCCCTTCCTTCCTCTCTCTTTCTCTTTCTGTCATTCACTCACACTTTCTTGCTTGCTTCTTTTCCTTCCTCTCTCTCTCTCTCTTCCTCCTCCCTCCCTCCACTCTCTTTCTCTCTCCCTCCTCTTTTTCTCTCTTTCTCTCATTCACTCACCATCTTTCTCTCTTGCTCGCTTCTTTTCCTTCTTTTCCTATTTCTCTCTCTTCCTTCCTTCCCCACCCTTCTTCCCCTCATTCTTTTTCTCTCTCATCCACTCCTCCCTCTCTTTCTTGCTCACTTCTTTTCCTTCCTCTTTCTCTCCCTCCCCTCTCACCATGCTCGCTCTTCCTCCTTCCTTCCCCTCCCCTCTTCCTCTCCCTTCTTCCCCTCTCTCTCCTCCTTCTCCTCCTCTGCCACTCTCTTTCTCTCTCACTCTCCCATTCACCCACCCTCTCTCTCTTGCTTCCTTCTTTTCCTTCATCTCTCTCTCCTCTCCTCTCACTCCACTCTCTCTTGCTCTTCCTCCTTCCTTCCTACCCCTCCTTTCTTCTCCTCTCTTTCTCTCCCTTGCTCCCTCCACTGTCTTGCTCCCTCTCTTCACCTCCATCCTCACTCCACTCTATCTCTCTCTTCCTCCTTCCTTCATTCCTTTCCCGCCCTTCTTCCCCCGTCTCTCTCTCTGGCTTTCTCCCTCCTCCTCTCTCTATTTTCTTTCTCTCTCACTCTCATTCACCCTCCCTCTCTCTCTTGCTTGCTTCTTTTCCTCTCTCTCTCTCTCTTTTCACTCCATTCTATCTCTCACTCTTCCTCCTTCGTTTCTTTCTTCCTTTCTTCCTCCCTTTTTCCCCTCTCTCTTTCTCTCTCCCTCCCTCCTCTCCTGCCACTGTCTCGCTCTCTCCCTCCACCTCCCTCTCTCCCTCCTCCTCACTCCACTCCATCTCTTCCTCCTACCTTCCCGCACCTCCCTTCTTCTCCTCCCTCTCTCTCTCTGCTTCTCTCCTCCCCTCTGTCTCTTTCTCCCTCCATCCCTCCACTCTCTCTCTCTCTCTCTCTCTCTCATTCACTCCCTCCCCCTCTCTCTTGCTCGCTTCTTTTCCTTCCTTCCTCTCTCTCTCTCTCTCCACCCTTACTCCACTCTATCTCTCGCTTTTCCTTCCTTCCTTCCTTCTGCACCCCTCCTTCACCTCTCTGGTTCTCTCTCTCTCTCTCTCCCTCTGCTCTCTCTCTCTTTCTCTCATCCACTCACGTCCTCTCTCACTTGGTCTCTCTTTCTCTCTTCTTCGCCTCTCTCTTTCTCCCTTGCTTCTCCTCTTTGTCTTTCTCTCATTCACTCCTTCTCTCTCCCTCCTCTTTCTCCCTTGCTCTCTCATTTGCTTGCTTCTTTCTCTCTCTCTCTCCCTCCCCTCTCACTCCACTCTATCTCTCTCTCCTCCTCCTTCCTTCCTTCCTTCTTCTCCTCTCTCTTTCTCCTCCCCCCTCTCTCTCTTGCTCGCTTCTTTTCCTCTCTCTCTTCCTCCTTCCTTCCTTCCTTCCTTCCCCACCCTTCCTTCTCCCCTCTGCTTCTCTCTCTCCTCCTCCCTCCCTGCCTCCACTCTCTTTTTCTCTCTCTCATTCACACTTGCTCGCTTCTTTTCCTTCCTCTCTCTCCACCCTCACTCCACTCTATCTCTCGCTCTTCCTTCCTTCCTTCCCCACCCCTCCTTCTCCTCTCTGCTTCTCTCTCTCCTCCTTGCTCCCTCCCTCCACTCTCTTTCTCTCTCCCTCCCTCCACTGTCTTGCTCTCTCTCTTCCTCTTTCTCTCTATCTCTCCTCTTTCTCCCTTTCTCTCTTCTTCCCCTCTCTCTTTCTCCCTTGCTTCTCCTCTTTGTCTTTCTCTCATTCTCTCCCTCCTCTTTCTCCCTTGCTCTCTCATTTGCTTGCATCTTTTTCTCTTTCTCTCTCTCTCCCTCCCCTCTCACTCCACTCTCTCTTCCTTCCTTCCTTCCTTCCCCACCCTTCCTTCTCCCCTCTGCTTCTCTCTCTCCTCCTCCCTCCCTGCCTCCACTCTCTTTTTCTCTCTCTCATTCACACTTGCTCGCTTCTTTTCCTTCCTCTCTCTCCACCCTCACTCCACTCTATCTCTCGCTGTTCCTCCTTCCTTCCTTCCTTCCTTCTTTCCTTCCCCCCTCCCTTTCTGCGCCTTTCTCTCTCCTTCTCCCTCCTTCTCCTCCCTGTCTCTCTCTTTCTTTCCCTCCACACACACACACACACACACACACAATCTCTCTCTCTCTCTCTCTCCTCCTCTCCTCCTCCTCTCCTCCCTCCCTCTCTCTGATTGGTCGTCGCGGTATGAATGGGGGAACATCAGACAGGACACAGACAGGGGCAGGTCTCGTGCGTCACTCTTGGCTCTCGCTCGTTTAAAACCACACTGCGCCGCAAAGAACAACGACAGAGAGGAGGAGGAAGACGACAGACGACGAGAACAACGAGACCGAGAAGACGCCTTTTCTTGTCCTTTTTCCAGAATATTCCCTCCCCCGGATTCCTCACAACATCTCACGCCGCAAAAACCGAGACGACGTTTTTTTTGGGGCTCGAAAACGGACCGAGTCTCACCTCCAAAATCTAGGTCAGGAGGACAAAAAAAAAACTGCTGCTTTCTATGTAAAATTCATTCAGATTCTCGGCTTCTGCACGCCGCGTTTTGTACAAGGTTTGAAGCAGCTGCTGCAAAAAAAACGTGGACTACATCGGCGCACAGAAATCTGTTTTGTAACCTCGGACTTTGGGTTAGTAACATCCCATCCTGTGGCTTTATTTCTGCATAGCGTAGTATAATTTTTCATACAATTTTCTCTATGCAAATCAGAAAAAAACGAAGCTGATCAGCCACATTTTTCTTGCAATATTGGCGTTTTTGTGCAATAATTAAACAAAAAAAAACTGCCTTTATCGTCCTGGAAACCTTGAAATCCTTGAAACGTTTTTGAACCGCAGAAGACGTCTTAACATGCAAATTTTAATCGTTTAATCTATAGCAATTGCGTTTTTATCAAGCAAAAATTTCTGGAAAGTCTTGACGATAAACTACTTGAACTTACTTTTAAAAAAACGGACTAAGAACTTCAAGGAATGCACGATTTTTGAACCGGCGTTTTGACTTTCGAGCAGCGTTTTTTGGACCCATTTTCTCTTCATCCTGGGGAAGACTACGCTGTTCCACTCTCCCCGCCTCCCCCCCTCCTCGTCCGCATCTTCTTCTTCGCTTTCGACGTCGTTCAAGCCGAACCCGTCGTCCCACTGCCTGAGGTGGAGGAGGTTCAAGCTGCCCGCGCCGCTCGCCATGCACATCAAGAGCTCCAAGTGCAACCGATTCTGCCTGGTTGCCTCGGTAACCAACCAGGAAGTGTTCACCCGCCCGGACGCGCAGGTGAGTCGGGAGCGCAGGTGGAGTTTAGAAACGACAGACGGGTGATTTATGGTCCAAGAGATCGTTTTGAAGTCGTCGTTAAAGGTCCATTATTACACAAAATGGACTGTTTGAGTGACACTTTATGATTAGTCTGTCTGTACACGCTCTGGTCCACCTTGTGATGTCATGAAGAGGTTGTTTTCAAGTTCACAGCTCACAGCTTCACAGTTTTTAGAGATTTGCAATTCCAGAGCTGAAATTATCCAAATGATTCTAGTGAAGGTGTGTGGAGATTTAAAAAGTTGAAGCTTATTTTGGGATATTTTTTATGTAGATAAGTATGTTTATTTTAATTTTTAAATATAAAGATTGTAGAACAGCTGGATATATAATTTATTTTGGATACATTTATGGTTTTCTTTGGTTTATTTCATGTTCAAAGTTTATTTTTAATTCATTTTATGTTTTATACTTCGCGAAACTGCTCTAAGGTTCATATTTCTACCGTGTATTTTTTGTTCAATTTGTGAGTTTTGCGTAAATTATCACAAAGTGCGGGGTTTTTTTGAGAGAGAAAATAACACTGCGTAAATGCATCGCGTAACTAAAAAAATAATCATTTGAATAACCGTGATTTGATCATGAATCTTGACCAAAATAAGTGCGATAATGATTTTTTTTTTTTTCCATTATTGAGCAGCACCACAGTGGAGCACTTCCTGTATCACCACGTGACATCACAAGGTGGAACAGAGTGTTTGCTGTTTGAGAGAAGAGCTCAGGCTAGTAAATATGCAGGGTTTGTGTGTTAAACATGTGAATCAAACAAAAAAACACAACGCTGAGTCTGTTTGTGACGAGGAAACAACATTAGAACAAAAAATATCAGAAAATAACGAATTATGGGCTCTTTATAGACAATCTAATGAGAAAACTGCCCAAAAAAGCTGAAAAAAACACTGATATTAAAGCTAGAATATGTGACTTTTTTGATTGAGCGTCTCCCACCTGCTTCCTTTTTTTCCTTTGTCTTAAATGTTCCACAGTATGGCATTAAAAAAATACTATAGATATTTTAAGTGCTCAATAATGCTTCAAAAACGTGCATTCTTACTGCGAGAGTGCGGGGCTCGCCTCTCCAGAGATCTGACTCTAACTCGGCCCCGGTGTCCTCTCGTCTCTTGCTTGTTTCCATGGAGACAGATAGGTTTAATGCCACACTGTGAAACATTAGTGAACATCGTTTATAATAAGAAAACTGATGGAAACTTTATTATAATTTGTCGTTTTACAGTTGTAAAAGGGAATATTTCTGCACTTTTGTGGCTAATTTGACGGTTCGTTCAGGTTTTGTGCAATATTTGAACCTCAACCAAGACATTTAGGTACTTTTCTTTTTTTTTTTTTCTTTTTTATTTGATATTTTCTTTTATTATTATGAAGATATTGTTGCATTCTATATAAAGTGCATTGTATGTCTCAAATGCACAGTTAAGATCTTGGGTATTAGAAGCTTTGTTGTAACATTCAGACAAGTAAATACAATAAGATTAACAAAACAAAACACTAATACTGGTCAATTAGAGCATTAAAGGCTGTATACGCTTTTGTCAGTAAGTACGGATATGGAGAAATTAAGGCACGCTTCTGATAAATTTCAAGAAATTACAGAAATATTATAGTTGTGGTATGCTGTGGTTTACTCATTTTTCTTGCAGTATTGATATTTTTGTGCAATAATTTAAAAAAAAACTACCTTGGTCGTTCTGGAAATCTTGAAATCTGCAGAGAATTTGCATTGAACATTTTTGAACCGAAGAAGACGTCTTAACAGGCAAAGTTTTCTGGAAATCTTGAGGAAAACTACTTGAATTCAGCGTTAAAAAGGGACTAAAAACTTGAGAAATTTAGGCACATTTTTGGATAAATTATAAGAAATTACAACAATATTGTAGTTAGTATAGAACCGCCCTTTACTAACATTGTAAACGTTGTAAAGTTGCCTGTGCTGTTTCATAATAATAACTTTTTGGTGACATCTAGTGGTCAAAGTGGAAATTGCAATCACCTCATCAACAGTTAAAAGTTTAAAGGTACATTCCGTAACTTTTCTGGTGGAGGGTCTGTCAAATGCTTTTCTCCATGGAGATGTTATCGCTGTGTCTGGAATGTTCCACAGTATGGCTTTAAACCTTTCTATCTTTATGAAGACCAAATCAGATCAAGTTACAGGTCAGATCTGCGGAGAGGCGACCCCGCTCACAGTCAGAATGTCTATTTTTCTAGGTATTTTTGAGCTGTAAAACCACCTGTAATTGAATAAATGTAAAGTAGAGCTGTTTAAAGTCATACTGTGGAACATTCCAGGCAATGCAATAACATCTCCATAGAAAAAAGAAGGTGACGGACCCTTCAGAAAAGTTACACAATGCACCTTTAAGTTTGAATCAATAGTTTCTTTATAAACTCTTTTATAAGGGATGTTACTATATGGAGTTTTATATAGTTATTATTAAATGATACAGATATTAACATTTTAAAATCTATTGCAAAATATGTTAAGTTAGAGTTATAGTACTATACTATACCAGCTTTATTTATAAAGCACTTTACAGCTACAACTTTACAGCCAAAGTGTTGTACACAAACACAAGACAAGTCAGTCTAAGTCACAATACAACTACTAAAAAACAAAGAAAACAATAAGATACTGAAGTTATAATTAACAACAAGAAATGTACATCTCTGGATGGAAACTGGGTCTCAAACTCCCTCCCCTATAGGGCCGATACCGATACCCCTGTAGGACAAACTTTATTGATCCACAAGTGTTCACAAGGGTGTTCGTCCGTGATTGGGGTGGCAGCGCTTTATAGTTAGGGCAGTCACCTTGACAACAGTTGCCCCCCGCCGTGACCGAACTACGTGAATCTTCGCAAAACTATGGTCGTCGCCCCCCCATGACAACGTGGACAAGTTGTTTTTTCTGGACAAAAATATGAAAATTTTGTACAATTTGATCCTGGAACTGTTAGTGCTGCACTTTACTTTTTGAAAGATTTGTTTACAGTTTACAAGGAATTTATTTTTTATAATATTTCATACATTTGTTGCTAATTTGAGAATATTTTATTTAACTTATTAGTTTTACCAAGCAGCATTTTGCATTTCTTTTAATTCCCTGTTTGTATAATGTTAAACAAATTGTTGATTTAATAAACACGCAAATAAACAACACACAAATGATTTAGCATTTTGTTCCCAAACTGTACCGAAAATGAACCGAACTGTGACCTCAAAACCGAAGTACCACGAGTTTTGTGTACAGTTACACCCCTATATAATATAACAAAGTGCAAAAATATAAATGGTTTAATAAATTCTAAATAAGTAGCAAAAATATCAAGAAACTGGTGTCAGATACTATAGAAACAAGTAATACAGATATACCGCCCATTCGTATTTTTTATTACCTGTACAGTCCATATAATTTCATTGTTACTTGATGCTTTTGCCTTGTAGTTTTGTAGCAGCCTTTAAAACCCAAGTACCAGATTTTATTTTTTTTCCATGTATTTGAGCAAAATTCGCCTTGTCCCAGTACAAATATATAGTATAAGCAGCTCTGGAGGTCAAAATATTGTTCAGAAGTGCGCGTTTGCATGCTAGTTGTTGTTAATGTGACTGTTACGGCAAAATTTAAAGTCTAAAAGTTGTGAAAAGTGCTTATAAACTCATTTTGGTGAGTATTAGGACGCTCACAGAGGTAAGTGAGGAATAACTTTGGTCCACTGCAAACTTTTAAAATGGATTAAATCTGTTTTTTTGTGTGTTTTTTTTACGTTTTTAAGAAAGCAGAAATCAGGTACAGCTCGTTTACGTCTTGGCCCAGTAACTGCTGTTTTCGTGTCTGATTGGCCCTATTCTTTTGTGTCACGTAATTGCAGTTTGGTGTCCCTGTAATAACCGAGCCACGTAGTGATTGTTCTCATTGTTGTGTTCAGGGTTCGGTGATTTTGCCGCTCTAAATGTGAAAGTGAAATTATAGTTGAGTCAGTAATGGAGCACAGAAAGAAAAGAGGAGAAAGAGGAGAAAGAGTCACCGGGGCCAAGTCTGATGTTTGTTGTCCAGAAAAGAAAGAATTCAATGGTCAAAAATGGACCATAGTTTAAAGACGCACTGGTCCAGCTTTTACCGATACTGATACTGATACTGATACTACTACTACTGACTACTACTACTACTGGCTTACTACTACTGCTGACTACTACTGCTACTACTACTGCTACTACTACTACTGACTACTACTACTACTACTACTGCTACTATTACTACTACTACTACTACTACTACTGCTGCTACTACTACTGCTGCTACTGACTACTACTGCTACTACTACTGCTACTATTACTAGTACTATTACTACTACTGCTACTATTACTAGTACTATTACTACTACTGCTACTATTACTAGTACTATTACTATTACTGCTACTATTACTAGTACTATTACTACTACTGCTATTACTACTACTATTACTACTACTACTACTACTACTGCTACTGCTACTACTACTACTACGACTGTACTATTATTATTACTATTACTACTACTGCTACTATTACCAATACTACTACTACTACTACCATTACTCCTGCTACTACTTTGTCTACAACTATGATAAAGTACTTTTCATTTCATTTTTTTTATTTATGCAAGATGAACACAAAATAATTCAGTTCATGCTACTACAGCTGCTACTACTATTACTACTACTGCTACTACTACTGTTACTACTACTACTACTACTACTACTACTGCTACTATTGCTACTACTATTACTATTACTACTACTGCTACTGCTGCTACTACTACTATTACTACTGCTGCTACTACTATGATGAAGTACATTTCATTTTTTAATTTGTTTCATTCATGAAACATGAACATAAAATAATTCAGTTCATGCGTCAGTGTGAATGAAAAGGAGCAGAGAGAAGTTTTTAGACTTGTAATATCAGCCCCATTTTCACACAAAGTAAAACATTTGTAACACTTCAACAGTTCCAACTATATTTATAAACGATTTATTTACACAATATTAAATACTCTACTGAACTAAAAATCACGAGGCGGAACAAAGCGTTTTTAAGCTTTGGAGATGCAGACAGACTATAATAATAATAATAATAATAATAAAAGTGTGAAAACGTGTGAATGAAACAAAACTCAACTCTATGAATATTTTTTAGGAGGTAACTACTGCTACTGCAACTGCTACTGCTACTGCTACTACTACTGCTACTGCAACTGCTACTGCTACTGCTACTACTACGACTGTGACTACTGCTGCTATTACTATTACTATTACTGCTACTACTACTACAACTACTTCGACTGTACTATTACTATTGCTACTACGACTACAACGACTACTACTACTACAATTACTATGACTGTACTATTACTACTACTACTACTACTGCGACTACTATGACTGCTACTACTACTACTACTACTATTACTATTAGTACTACTACTGCTACTGCCACTACTGCTACCGCTACTACTACTACTACGACTGTACTGTACTATTACTATTACTACTACTATTACTACTGCTACTGCTACTGCTACTACTACTACTACTACTACTACGCTACGAATACTACTGCTGCTAATAGGACTGTACTATTATTACTATTACTACTATTCCCACTACAACTACTTCGACTGTACTATTATTATTACTACTACTATTACTACTACTACTACTACCACCGCTACGACTACTACTACTACTGCTAAGATTGCTACTACTACTACTACTACTACTACTAATAGGACTGTACTATTACTACTACTACTACTACTGCTACTACGACTGTACTATTACTATTACTACTACTACTACTACTACTACTACTAGACAGACTAATAATAAAAGTGTGAAAACGTGTGAATGAAACAAAACTCAGCTCTGTGAATATTTTTGAGGAGGTAACAGGATTATAACAGGATTTAAAGCTCACAGGAGTCTGTTCGGCGTAATATAGGAAATTTTTAAAATATACTTTTATAGAATTCATGTCACCGTCTCCTCCCTCCTCCTTATGCAGTTAGCTTCATAAAGAAACTAGGCGTACGAATGGAGGTCGTGCTGCGTGATGTCAGTGCCGGGACAGATATAGCGTGCTTTAATTCAGGCTATTTATACCCAGTTTTCCTCCTCTGCCTCCTCCGCCTCTCCGCCATCAGTATTTTTAGACAAAGGCCAGATTAAATGAACAAGAGAAGAGGAAATTGCGATTTTGTATGCAGGGTACAACACTGATCTATGCGCGAGTGGAAATTTATGAGCTAGAAATTGGATAAATGATGCAGAAGGGTTTAAATCAGGTTTTGGGCTCCTCATTAGGTCATAGTTAGAACATTTATTACTCTTAAAGGTTAACGTTTTACCATTTACTAGTCCGCTGCCTGCTTGTCTCCGTGGAATTTTCTGGTATTGCTTTGTCTGGAATGTTCCACAGTATGACATTAAGCTAAACTCTTGTATTTATTTAATTTCTTGTGGTTTTATTAGTTCAAAATACATTGAAAAACATGCATTCTTACTGTGAGTGGGCTCGCGTTTCCACAGAACTGACTCGTAACTCGGCTTGTCTCCGTGGAGATTTCGTTGCTTTGCCCGGAATGTTCCACAGTGTGACATTAAAAACAGCTCTGCCCTTACTTTTATTCAATTACAGTTTATTGTTGCTTAAAAATACCAAGAAAAACAGGCGTTCTGACTGTGAGCGGGGTCGCCTCTCCACAGATCTGACCTGTATCTTGGTCTGGTTTGGTCTCCATGAAGATAGAAAGGTTTAATGCCACACTGTGAAATATTTCAGACAAAACAATAATATTTCCATGGATAAAAGCATTTGGCGGAAGTTACACAATGCACCTTTAACATTATAGTAATTCACAGTCTTTTGTTTGATGACTTTTTAGTAAATTTTTTTTTTTAATTACTTAAATATCCTCATTTGTTTATTCGAAATAATATTTTGGTGCCAGTCTTTCAGCGCCCTGTGGTCTGAGGCGACAGAGAACAGGGCTGCTCTGTTCTAGACCTAGTGTTGTAGTCAAGACCACACAATTCGAGACCACAGGGTCCCGAGACCAGGACAAGACCAAGACCTCTGAGGGTTAAGACCGAGACAAGACCGAGACTTTTAAAGGCTGAGACCGAGACAAGACCGAGACTTTTAAAGGCTGAGACCGAGACAAGACCGAGACTTTTAAAGGCCGAGACCGAGACAAGAGCAAGACTTTTAACGGCCGAGACTGAGACAAGACCAAGACTTTTAAAGGCCAAGACAAGAGCAAGACTTTTAAAGGCAGAGACTGAGACAAGACCAAGACTTTTAAAGACCGAGACTGAGACAAGACCGAGACCATGGCCCATCGGGACAAAACTGAGACCATCTTTGTAATTTTTGACAATTATTTGTATTTTACACTTATTCTGGCACATTTATATCAATGTATTTATAAATCTATCTCCATTTTATCGCTCGTGGAGTGTCAGACCTCAAGACCGAGTCCAAGGACCTTCATTGCCGCTGTAATCGATACAATTTGATATTTTTTAAGTATCTGATTACTTTTATTTCTATTCTAAGTATTTCTGTTTTTGTCCTTGTGTCTTTCAGGCGAGCTTCGAGTCTTTGTTCCGATCGTTCGACCCGGAGGTGCAGTTCCAGTATTTTAAATCCTTTCGCAGAGTCCGGATCAGTTTCAGCGACGCTCTGGCTGCAGCGGAGGCCAGACTCCGGCTTCACAAGAGCGACTTCAACGGCAAAGAGATGAGGCTCTACTTCGCACAGGTAAAAAAAAAAAAAAAAAAGTAGACTGTCGACTTATCAAACGATTATAGGCAGATAGAAGAAGAGCATTTATGATTCATTTATCAACTTGTTTTATTATTGAAACAGAAGCAGAGAGACAGAACTATCAAACTATTCCACAAAACTATTAAAATAACCAATTACTATGAGTTGTTTGAGACCTCTCTACTTTTCTGATGGAAGGTCCGCTACCAACTTGTCTTGATTTGAATATTCCAAAGTATGGCAAGCTATTTTTGTCTCCATGGAGATAGCTGCGGGTCAGATCTGTGGAAAGGGGAACTTGCTCACAGTAAGAACACATGATTTTCAAAGTTATTTTTGAGCAATAAAACACAGGTAATTGAATAAATGCAAGATAAATGCAACATCTCAGTCGGAACAAGTAGATGAACGACACCACCACTAGAAAAGTTACATAGTGCAGCTTTTAAAGTCACCTGTAAGAATCTGTGTGTCATTCGTTCATTCGTTTTTCAATATAAAACCAAAAATAAGAAAATGAAAACAACAACAGTTTTCTTTCAGTCTTTCTTTTTCATTATTTGTTCCCAAAACCAAAAGGAAAAAACAGATAACAATTTGTTTTTTCAGTTTTCAATTTTGTGTTTAAATGAAAAAACGGATAACGGCCTGAACCAGGACTAAACCGTTTTCAATCCTGCTCTGGTCCCAGTCTCAGTCCTGGTCTGGTCCCGGTCTCAGTCCCGGTCTCTGTCCCGGTCTGGTTCTGGTCTCAATCACGGTCTGGTCCTGGTCTGCTTCCCGGCTTCAGTCTTGGTCTGGTCCAGTCCTCAGTCCTGGTCTGGTCTCGGTCTGGTCCCGATCTCAGTCCCAGTCTGGTCCTAGTCTGGTTCCGGCTTCAGTCCTGGTCTGGTCCAGTCCTCAGTCCCGGGCTGGTCCCGGTCTCAATCAAGATCTGGTCCCGGTCTGGTCATGGTCTCAGGTCTTAGTCCTGGTCTCAGTCCTGGTCTCAGTCCTGGTCTCAGTCCTGGTCTCAGTCCTGGTCTCAGTTCTGGTCTGATCCCGGTCTCAGTCCCGGTCTTGGTCCCAGACTCAGTCCTTGTCTGGTCCTGGTCTAAATCCTGGTCTCAGTCCCGGTCTGGTCCTGGACCTGTTTAGTCCTGGTTCAGTCCTGGTTCAGTCCCACATCACAGTTTAAGTCACGTTATCCGTTTTTTCGATTTTTCATTTAAACACAAAATTGAAAACTGAAAAAAAAAAAAACGAATCATTATCTGTTTTTCACTTTGGTTTGGGAGACAAATAATGAAGAAAATTGTTGTTTTTTCGTTTTCTTATTTATGGCTTTATTTTGAAAAACTAATGAACGAATGATACACGGATTCGTAAGTGAGTGAAGTGTTTGTTATTTGTAGTTTAAACATCGTCTCTCTCGTCTTTCTTCAGTCGGTCCACATTGGGAGTCCGCGTCTGGAGCCTCCTAAACCAGATAAGCAGTTCCTGATCTCGCCCCCGGCCTCTCCTCCTGTGGGCTGGGAACAGTCTCACGACGCTACACCCGTCATCAACTACGACCTGCTCTGCGCCATCTCCAAACTCGGGCCAGGTAAAAACAAAAGAAGAAGGAAGAAGGAAAAGAATTAAAACAGCAAATTACAAAGACCAGCTGACAGTGAAAATGATCAAACTTGTAGTATAAAAACTTATTGTGGTCAAAAAAGTCCGAGGCTCTCTGTTGGAATTAATGATTACACCCTGAAGCTCTAATTTCCTCCGTGTTTTTATAGCAAATTAAAAGGTCCCAGTGTTTTTTGGTAGAACATTGTCCGTGCAAAATAACAACATAACACGTTAAGACTCAGCAAATGAGATAAATACTTCAGTGGAGGACTCTTCTGTGTTTAGAGAAAGATATGCTGCTAGTTTTGAAGGGTAATAAAGCTTAAAAACATTTGGGTAGTCTTAAATTTAATCAATTTTAAAAGAAATACCATATTTTTCGGACTATAAAGTGCACTGGATTACAAGGCGCAATATCAGTAATGTTGAATTGTCTCGTCTATTTTCGTACATAAGGCGCACTGGATTATAAAGCGCATTAAGAGAAACAAACGGACGACACTTGAGACTGATCCTTAGCCCAGGCGTCCACGATCCATCGGCAGTTCGTGGCGTAATTCGCCCAGTGTTGCCTTACAGTTCTGGTGAATGTGTATTATGAATGTGAAGTTTGTTTGTTTTGGGGTTTTTTTGCGCACATTTGTTTACATTTTACAGAAACAAAACTTAAAGCCACATGACTAATTTGCTTAAACTATAAGCGCTGAAAAAAAAACTGCTTGCTCCTTGTGCGCTGAAGCGGTTCATCTTCTGTCGGACTTACTCTGTGAGGCTCCTGACTACGATAGCCATAATCCTCCGACAATCCATCAAGTGGTGTGGCTTCATAGCTTACCAAAGTCGTACTAAAACATTTTGACAGATTTTTGAGCGCCGTGTACCACATAAAATTGGTTCGAGCACAAGTAAGCACACCCAGAATTAATACATAAGGCGCACTTGTTGATTTTTGAGAAAATTTTATGATTTTAAGTGCGCCTTATAGTCCGAAAAATACGGTAACAGTACTCTTTCTTGAGTAAAAGTTGTGCTTCCTCTTCCCACTGTGAATAAGTCTTTAATAACAAAAAAAGCTTTATGTTGATAATATGAAATTATTTGAAATGTGTATTTCTTGCTCCACTCCTTTTTGATTTTGTGTTTCTCATTTTTGTGTCTATCCTTTGAAAATAGCAGATTTTGTGCATTAATTGAATGTTTTGTTAACTTCAAATGATAAATCAGATGTTACGCCTAGACAGTTACTCTTACTTGAGTAGTACTTTTTCCTAAATATTATTTTACTGCTACTTGAGTAATTTCTTGGACCACTACTTTATATTTTTACTTGAGTATTATTTTGAAGTAATGTTACTCTCACTTGAATTTTTTGGCTGCTCTAACCGCCTCTGTTATTTCTGTAGTTTAATATGTCTTCTCCTCCATTTTGTTTTCCAGGTGAGAAGTACGAGCTGCACACGGCCACGCCCACCACCCCAAGCGTCGTCGTGCACGTGTGTGATGACGACAGCTCCGCCCCCGACGACTCCGACCACGACGACAGGCCACGCCTACCCTCACGCCCCAAAATCGTCCAGACGCGACGCCCCGATTTCACCAACCAGTGACCGAAAAAAGTCTGTCGTCATCAAAAACCCAAAACGATGGAGATTTTGTCAGCTTCATCCTGATTGGTGGAGAATTGTAAAGCTTGGATTTGATTGGTCGAGAGCGGCGCATGCTCCGAGGGCGTACGGGAAAGTGGCGTAGGGGGGGACTTTATTTAAAACGGCCGCCCAAAAACAGGTGAAGATTAAGCGCGTCACGAAAGTTTGATAGTTTGACGAAAGAAAGAAAAAATACGTAGTGTCCAGTTCTGCTTTTAATGGACATTTCAAAAACACGATTTGTCATAAAAAGTTAATTTGCAGTTTTGGAAAAAAAAAGAGAGATTTGCGTTTCATTGTGTTAAAGTCGGAATTTTTAAAGTTATCGAGCGGAATAGGTAAAAACAATAGTGGAGTATCAGGAAATAGGTCATGCTTTTCCAACTTTTGCTCCTCTTTTGTTTAAATAGTTTGTTTTTTGCTTTTATTTATGATTTTCTTTTTAATAATACTTAATGTACATTGCCATTGAATTGTCGATTTACAGTTTATTTCATTGAGTGCTGTTCCTCGTACTGTTTAAAATATTAATTTAAACGCATAACTCACTCCATTTTTACTTATAAATCTGAGTTTTGTAACTGGTATTTTTGTTTTTAGTGAACTTGATACTCAACTTTGGAAAATAATAAAAAAAAATGAATAAATAATTACTAACAAAGCGTTTTCTTGATTTAAAAAAACTAATGTTCCACTCTATTTGTGATAATTGTAGCTGGAATTTTATCTAAAAGTTAAATTACGTAATACAGTGCAATGATATGACACCATTCAGCTGAGTTCAGTTTCATAATTTTTTTTGTTTTCTTTGTTTTTGTTCACATACAATTGTTACGACAGTGTATTTAGAGCCCTCAGTTGTTTTACTTCAGACTAGAAAATTGCACAAATATTGCACATTTCATTGTTACAGCCATTCTGTCTATGTCTAACTGTAATTCACAACTTTTAAAATCACAACAATGAAAAAGTAGTGGTTTAAAAAGAAAAATACTGTACAGAAAATACGCCATTTGCGAAATGTATTGGACAAAAACTGTTAACCCATATGTCTAGAGTGCAATGAAAGTTACTGTACGTTTTAAGAGATTTTAAAGATGGCAAATGTGTCAATAAATGTTTTTTCATTAAATCACATGTAAAATTATGACTTATCTTGTTGTGACCGCCAATGCTGTATTTCCAAGGACTGTTTGATATTTGGTTACATAAAAATGCATTTAATAGGTTTATTTCATGCTTTTTATAATGGCAGTAGTTGTTTTTTGAATGTAGACAAATGATACTGTGGATTATTATGCTAAAAATAATACAAACGTTGGTTGTTGGTTGAGATAAAATACTTGAAGTGTTGTTTCACAAAATGGCTATTACAAAATGTACTGGGAATGGTTTAAAATGCTCACTCAAAAATATTAAAATGTATTCATAGATTTTTGGTTCTCTCGTCTCTTATTTATTTGTCCTTAAAGTATAAATTGTGATCTTTCAAACTGGAACAAATCACTAAACTTTCTATCGTTAAAATATACGAACTAATACTGAATCTGAAATTACTTTTTCTAGTTTTGAATGGTAAACAACTTCATTATTTTAGTTTTCAGACACTTTTACTCCTATTTGAGTATTATATTTTACAGTAATAGTTTTGGTTATATTATTTAGTTTTTTTAAATGTCTATCTATTCTTTTAAAATATCAAATTTTGTGATTTATTTAATGTTTTGTCGGTCAATTTACGTAAACTTCAAATTATGTATAAGATTACGTCTTAACGTTTGCGTCTAAGTGCGTACATCTTTTCGATATACTTATAAACTTTTACTTGTTTATTTTATTTTATTTTTTTACATATATTTTACTTTTACTTCTAGTTTCCTGTACAGAATGAATAATCTAAGAAATACAAATAATATATATGTTTAAAAAAAATAATAATATGAAGGAAGGAAAAGAAAACGGGACGGCTTCTAATACGTCATGGAAATTCTACATTCTGATTGGCTGCTGTCTTCTAAGTCCCGCCCACATCGTGCTAACCATATAAAGCTCTGCTCCCGTAGCCGCTATCAGAAATCTTCCACAAAACCTGCGAAAATGATCAACTGGAAGGTAAGATTAACATATTTATACATTTGTTACGTCTTAATTCGTGTATTTAAATTGTAGTTTGTTCTTGAGAACTTTACTGAAGCGCCGTGAAACTTGTTTTTAAAGCTTGTTAGCATCGGAGTGGCTAGTTAGCTCATGTTATGGTGCGGTGACTTGAGAAATGAAATAACTTATATAGAAAATTATTGCTAAGGATTAATTTTGGGTCATACTTTTTTGATAAAATACATATAAACTTTGACTATATACAATTTCAATAGGAAAAATAGTTGACAATTCTATTTTTTAATTGAATGTGTATTAGGTAATAGTAGTAGTATCTAGTATTATGCATAATTCAATTAAATTCAAGTTTATTTCTTTAGAACATTTAAAATAACTTCATTTGACCAAAGTACTTCACATAAAAGTCAATAAAAATACAAGAAACAGTTCCAAATACTGTCCAAATAATTTCCCTTGTGCATCAATAAAGTTTGTCTAAACCTAAGACAACGTGAAAACACATAAAAATAAATAAATACGTAAAAATAAAGCACATTTTGGCGTTATTTTTCTTCTGCTATTTAAAATCTTTATGCTGATTTACTGATACTTACTGATGAATCAAAACAACAAACAAAAGGACTAAACCAGATCATAACCAGGACTAAAACATGATGATGAACCAGGATTAAAAACTGGTTTAAATCCGTGTCTCTATTTACTACAATAAAAGAAAATAGGGTCTAATTCTAATCCTAAAAAAAGAGTCCTAATCTCGGAATAAAATGTATAAAAACAAATATAAAACATGTCTAATCCAGGACTAGACCAGATCGAGTGATAATAAGACGTAACCCGGTGGTCTCTGGTAGTTTCTAGAAAGTACTGGAGTGGACGCTGCAGCTGTCTGTCCTGTCGCCTCGAGATGAGACTAAATTAGAACACCCAAAAAAAAAAAAAAAAACACACACACACACACAGCTGAAGTAACTTTGTCACTGGAGCGAGAGAGGGAGAAGAAGAAGAGGGGGATGGAGACAGAAATGGAGAGATAGACTCCAACTCTCTCTCTCCATCTCTGTCTGTTATTAAATTATTCCTTGTTATTATATCTTGTTTTGCTGTAGTAGTAGGTACGATATTTTCACAATATACATCTCACGGGACGGTATTTATTGCCATATTTTGTGGAGGTTTACAAACAAAACTGTGAATATGCGACTTTTTCCTCTTAAAGTGCCTTGACAAGACTTAAAAGTGCTTAGAACTTTTATTTCTTCTTGTAGTCTGCACTGAAATGGAGCAAAGGATCATGGTCTATGTAGTTCCCGCTGTCTTTTTTAGCTGCTTACTCTTAATTTAAGCAAAGAGACTTGTAATTCAATATATTGTGATAGTCCACGATATTATTGTGAGAACTTTGACGATACGATATCACAATATTTTGATTATTGTTATGTAGATCGTAAATTGATAGTTTCATATTTATTTCGCATTGTGATGTCAAATCTGCGGTATACGGACAATAGGTCTGTCACGATAAATATGTTGACTTATTGTTCAGTTTTCAGATCAGTATTTATTGCGGGGAACGTTTTGTTATTTTTTTCTGTTGTATGAAAAGGGTTCAATAAATAACTTTTGTGACTTGTTAAAACAGGTGAAGCTAAAGCGCGTCACGAAAGTTTGATCGTTTGACGAAAGAAAGAAAAAATAAATACGTAGTGTCCAGTTCTGCTTTTAATGAGCATTTCAAAAACACGATTTGTCATAAAAAGTTAATTTGCAGTTTTGGAAAAAAGAGAAATTTGCGTTTCTTTGTGTTAAAGTCGGAATTTTTAAAGTTATCAAGAGGTACAGGCAAAAACAATAGGAAATAGGTCATGCTTTTCCAACTTTTGCTCCTTTTTTGTTAAAATAGTTTGATTTTTGCTTTTATTCATGATTTTCTTTTTAATAATACTTAATGTACATTGCCATTGAAATGTCGATTTACAGTTTATTTCATTTAGTACTGTTCCTCGTACTGTTTAACGTGTAATTAAAATGAATCTCTAATCCTCTTAATGCTGTTTTTAAATTTTACTGTACCATTTTAGTCCACTAGAGGTCGTAAGATTGAAGCAAAATATTATTTGTGGTGCCATTTGAAGTGTTATTAAACCTTTTCTTCACTCCGTCTCTTCTCAGGCCTTGGACAACGTGCCCGTGCTGTTGTACATTTTGGCGCTGAAGACTTTACTCTTGTGTTTGGCCTTCGCCGGAGTCAAAATCTACCAAAGCAAAAAGGCCGAAGAGGCTCTGAAGAGACAGCAGCAGGAGAGACGCAGGCTCGCCCAGAGGACACAGGAGCTTATAGACGACCTGAAGGAAGACTAGTGTGAGTACTGTTACTTTTACTACTACTACTACTACTACTAGAACTCATAGGCCACAAAAAGGATGGCTGGTTTGAATAATACTACGATTACTACTACTGAAAGTCAGATAACAAGAAGGATGTACTACTGCTACTACTGCTACTTCTACTCTATTCCTCCAACCAGTACACACAAATATTGTTGTCGTGTCCCTGGGCAAGACACTTCACCACCAGTACTTTGTGAGAGTTTTTTTAGTGTGAAAAACATTTAGTAATATTCACTTGTCTCATTGTAGGAACCATGAACATTATCGGAGGGACTGGGGAGTTCTGGTGCCAGTTTCGAACCTGGGATTTTTTAACATAATGGACACTTTGCTGCTTTGAAGAAGTACGGACTTAAACCACTGAACACAAACCACATGTATTTATAAAGAAGAGTGACGTTTTCTGTAAATGTTGTACCACATTTTCTGTCTTTTGTAAACTATTTAATGTAATAAAATCATGTCTACATTTCACTTTGACTTTTACGTAATTACCAAACTCATCGAATTGCATTAAAGGTGCACTGTGTAACTTTTCTGGTGCTTCTCTCCATGGTGATACTGCCTGGAATGTTGGGAAAGTTACATGTCAGGTCTGTGAAGAAACGAGCCCACTCACAGTAAGAATGCAAGTTTTAAGGTCAATAAAAAAAACATGTTCTTGAGCTATTACAAGGTGGATATGTTTACACCACCACACCGGAACATTCCAGACAAAGCATTAACATCTCCATGGAGACGAGCAGGTGACCAAAAAAGTTACACTTTACAACTTCAGTCTGCAAAATGCAATACAGTTACTGGCTTAACTTTAACTTTTAAAACTGAAATCTGAACTGTAACCCTCACGCTCTCCTCGGGGTCACATAGACTAGAAGACTTTTTTTTTTTCCTTCCCGCTCTCTTGGGGCGGGTCAATCAGACCCAAAAATTTATTTTCTCGCCTGGTGAGAAAATAATTATTTATTTATTTGAAAAGGGACAATGCACATTAATCAACGTCAAAACAATGTAAATGTGCCCGAGTTAACTGATAAGAGCTAATTTGCATCGGTAGTCCCTTTGTCTCTGTCTGTTATTAAATTATTCCTTGTTATTATATCTTGTTATGCTGTAGTAGTAGGTACGATATTTTCACAATATACATCTCACGGTGCGATATTTATTGCGATATTTTGTGGAGGTTTACAAACAAAAGTGTTAATATGCGAATTTTTCCTCTTAAAGTGCCTTGACAAGAGTTAAAAATGCTTAGAACTGTTATTTCTTGTAGTCTGCACTGAAATGGAGCAAAGGATCATGGTCTATGTAGTTCCCTCTGTCTTTTTTGAGCTATTGCTGCACTGTAACTCTTAATTGAAGCAAAGAGACTTGTAATTCGATATATTTTGATGGTCCATGATATTATTGTGAGAACTTTGACGATACGATATCATAATATTTAGATTATTGTTATGTAGTAGATCGTAAATTGATTGAGTTTCATATTTATTTTGCGTTGTGATGTCAAATCTGCAGTATACAGTTAACAGGTCTGTCACCATAAATATTATGTTGACTTATTGTTCAGTGTTCGGATCAGTATTTATTGCGGGGAACTTTTTGTTATTTTTTTCTGTTGTATGAAAAGGGTTCAATAAATAACTTTTGTGACTTGTTAAAACAGGTGAAGCTTAAGCGCGTCACGAAAGTTTGATAGATGTCAAAAAGGCATCCTAAAAGAAAATACACTTAAAAGTTACACATCAAAAATGACACAAATGTACAATAAGATTACAAAAATACAATAAAAGTTTTAGTGTTCACACATTTGCGTATCTAAAAGCCACTTTTTAACATTCTTTTTAAACGCAGAGAATGAGGGAGATGTTCTGACGGCTTCAGGCGCAGAGTTCCACCGATGAGACGCTCTGACGAAAGAGAAAACACACTGACCACATACAGTTTTTCTATGAGGAATAATGCAGTCTTCCCTCACTGCTCCTCTGGTCACTCTGGCCTCACGAGATCTGAAATTAACAAAGTCATTCAAGCGAAGGGGGAGCCGAGCCACGTTTAATCTTGTACATTACACAGATATTTTTAAATTTAATAAGATTGTCCCAGGTCATTAAGTTGTATTTCTGCAAAATGTGACAATGGTGGGATCAGGTTTTGGGTCTTGACTTGACCCGCCCCGAGAGCAGGAAGGGAAAAAAAATGTTTCTTTGGGTCTATGTGACCCCGAGGAGAGCGTGTTAAGTAATTTTTTTGGTGGAGGGTCCGTCAAACGCTTTTCTGCTTGGGCTGGAATGTTTCACAGTTTGGCATTAAACCTTTCCATCTTCAGGGAGACATTTCCACTAAACTAAGCAGCTTTTATACAGATTAAGACCCCATGGAGACACACGGGGGCATTTTTGTATCTGTAATTTCATAATAATTCACAATATTAGTGATTTAAAATTGTTTATTGTTTAGGTAAAGTTTGACAGAAGGCACAGTACAGCGTCAGGAGAGTCAAAGCTGTAGCAAAAATAGAACTCCGTACAGAATTATACATCTATGAAGCAAAATAATTATATCAAAAAGCATTTGAACAAAGAAATTAGACATTTTTAGAGCGACACATTGGCCAAAAATATTAACTTCTGTCAAAAAACGATTATAGGAAACAACCATTTTTGAAAATATACAAGTTTCAAAGTCCCTTAAGATAGAAATACTTGAACACGGTTTTTAAAATTTTTGGTCAAGAGTTGGAATACAGAAAAACTTGAACCACGTCACATGAAAATTCAGCAAGAAAGTATTAAAATTAAAATGGAGATTCATGAGAAATTTGTGCAAAAATTTTAAATACAGCAAAGTACTTGAAAATTTTCTTACAATTTACCATCTTTGTTTTCGCTTTTTAACAAAATAGTGACAGTAAGAGCTACAAAAACTGAGAATTTTTGGGCATAAATATTACAATATAAACAGAAATCCATTCATGTTAACTGTAAATTTGGAAAATATTTTGAGAAACAGAAAAAAATACATTTGACCTTCATATATTAGCAAGAATTCTGTTTTATCCTGTGGTGTTTTTAGTTTACGAATGTTTATCGTCAAGTAGATAAATGTTCAATGAAGCCGGAAGTGCGCCCAGAATCTGTGTCATTCGTTCATTTGTTTTTCAAAATAAAACCAAAAATAAGAAAACGAAAAAACAACAGTTTTCGTCATTATTTGTCTCCAAAACCAAAATTTAAAACAGAATGATTTGTTTTTTTTTCAGTTTTCAATTTTGTGTTTAAATGAAAAATGGAAAAAACTGATTGTCGTTTCCGTGACTTAAACTGCGATGCCGGACTTTTGCGCCGCATACGGACTGAACCAGGACTAAACAGGTCCAGGACCAGATCGGGACTGAGACCAGGATTTAGACCAGGACCAGACAAGGACTGAGACTGGGACTGACACCGGGACCAGATCAGAACTGAGACCAGGACTGAGACCAGATCGTGATTGAGACCAGGACCAGACTGGGACCAGATGGGGACTGAGGACTGGACCAGACCAGGACCAGACTGTGATTGAGACTGGGACCAGGACTGAGACCGGGACCAGATCATGATTGAGACCAGGACCAGACCGTGATTGAGAGAAGGATTTAGACTGGGACCAGACAAGGACAGAGTCTGGGACCAGGACTGGGACTGAGACCAGGATCACACCGGGACCAGATCGTGATTGAGACCAGGACCAGACTGGGACTAGACCAGGATTAAAAATGGTTTGGCATCGCAGTTTAAGTCACAAACAGGAAACGGCCGTTATCCGTTTTTTCATTTAAACACAAAAATCGAAAACTGAAAAAATTAATCGTTATGTTTTTTCATTTTGGTTTTGGAGACAAATAATGAAGAAAATTGTTTTTTAATTTTCTTATTTTTGGTTTTATATTGAAAAACAAATGAACGAATGACACACGAATCGCCCACGTTCACTTCCTGTTCAAAACGTGTTAGTCATGTCCATTTATATTTACAGTTTATGTCATTTCCGTGTATAAAATGCTACTTTCAAACATTATCTGGGATTGTATTTTGCATCAAAACTATAAAAATTTGTAATACTGTTTTTTAAAATGGCAAGAAAATGCAATTTAAACCAAAAAAAATCTGTTCACGATTGACTGAATCCAGCACAATTGTCTGTCAAAAATACGGGAAAATATTTAACTATTGTGTAAATTTTAAAAACAACTTGTTAACGTGTGAATAATAACAATAATAATAATTAAAAAACGGTTTAGTTAAAAGAGTCTGTTATGCTCTGGTACGGAAAGGACTCGGGATACGGAAGTTCCATGATGCACTGCTCCGTGACGTCGGGCAGGTAGGGTCCCTCCTCGTCGAAAGGGGGCAGCACCAGGCCCTCCTCGTCCGGAACGGGAAGCTGCGCGTCCGGATCCGGTTTGATCTGGTTCTGACGCGGGTTTTCGGGGAACGCCATCGAGAAGAGGGCGTCCGGGTTACACACGAACTTGTACACGTACCTCTCTCCGGCCACCTGCGGGAAAAAAACAAAAACAAAACACGGAAATCAACGCGCGGATATTAAACTCATACCGTAGTCCTGGTTTTAGTCCTGGTTTTTAGACCTGGTTTTAGTCATGATTTTTGGTCCTGCCTTAAGACCTGGTTTAAGACCTGGGTTTATAGTCCTGGTTCTTGGTCCTGGTTTTTAGTCCTGATTTATAGTGCTGATTTAGACCTGGGTTAGACCTGGTTTTAGTTATAATTTTCAGTCCTGGTTTTCAGTCCTGGGGTTTAAGTCCTGGGGTTTAAGTCCTGGGGTTTAAGTCCGTTTTTAGTCCGGTTTTAGTCCTAGGGGTTTTAAGTCCTGGGTTTTTGAAAGTCCAGTTTTTTTCAGTCCTGGGTTTTCAGTCCTGGGTTTTCAGTCCTGGGTTTTCAGTCCTGGGTTTTCAGTCCTGGGTTTCAGTCCTGATTTAAGTCCTGATTTATAGTGCTGGTTTAGACCTGGTTTTAGTCCTGGGTTTTAAGTCCTGGTTTTTAAAGTCCTGGGTTTTACGTCCTGGGTTTTACGTCCTGGGTTTTACGTCCTGGGTTTTACGTCCTGGGTTTTACGTCCTGGGTTTTTAGTCCTGGGTTTTTAGTCCTGGGTTTTAAGTCCTGGGTTTTTAGTCCTGGGTTTTTAGTCCTGGGTTTTAGTCCTGGGTTTTAGTCCTGGGTTTTTAGTCCTGGGTTTTAAGTCCTGGGTTTTAAGTCCTGGGTTTTAAGTCCTGGGTTTTAGTCATGATTTATAGTCCTGGGTTTAGGCCTGGATTTAGGCCTGGATTTAGGCCTGGATTTAGACCTGGATATAAGTCATAATTTTAGTCATAATTTTTTGTCCTGCGTTTTAGACCTGGGTTTTAGTCCTGGTTTTTAAGTCCTGGTTTTAAGTCCTGGTTTTAGTCATGATTTATAGTCCTGGGTTTCAGTCCTGATAAAACCACTGACTTATAACTATTGTACATTGGGCTGCAGGTTTTGTGGTGTAGGCAGCATAAAAATAAAAATAAAATCAGGCTGTATAAAAACATTTGTGCGTTTTTACCTTCTGCATGATCCCTTTCTCGTAGTAGTACCGCAGAGATCGGCTCAGTTTGTCGTAGTTCATGGCCGGACGATTCTTCTGGACCCCCCACAGACGGGCCACCTGGAAACAAACACACATAAACAAACTGAGATTATGGTGGATGAAATTATTATGTGAAGCAGGCTGAGGCCACCTGTCGCCTTGATTTATGATTTTTGTTTGTTTTTTTATTGGTAGTTTTCAGATTGTAAAATGTGACGTCTTACTCCCAAATGCAGGGCAAGGGTCAGATTTTCTTTTACTTTTCAACAATTTTACCCACGAATTTGCCCTTATTTAGCACAAATTTGGCATGAATTTGGTCTCATTTAACAGGAATTTGGTCTTATTCAGCACAAATTTTGCACAATTTTTGTCTTATTTAGCACGAATTTGGCCATATTTAGAGTGAATTTTGTCTTATTTAGCACAAATTTGGCATGAATTTGATCTTATTTAGCACACATTTCGCCATATATAGCACAAATTTTGCAAAATTTTTGTCTTATTTAGCCCGAATTTGGCCATATTTAGTGTGAATTCAGTCTTAGCACAAATTTGTCATGAACTTTATCTTAGCACAAATTTGTTCCTATCTGTATTAATATTTCCCTATAGAATGCAGTGAGGTCATCTGAAACCCAGCAAAAGGTTTTTTATTTGTGTGTCACCAGAATTTACAACAAAAAGTGATTTTTTTTCTTATGCTGATTTTCGTCCAACTTGTTTTTAGACCAGGATGAGGGAGATTTTTAGTTGGTTTTGTTTTTTAGTTTTAATTCAGCTTTGGCAATATCTGCATTAGACTCTCCGGTCCGTTACCTCCTCGGGGTCGATGAGCTTAAACTCCATGTTTCGTCCGGTCCACACGATGAGGTGGGAGTTGTTCGGGTTTTCCAGGAGAGTCAAAAGGAACTGCCAGAGCTGCAGAGAGCCCCGGCGCTGGTACGGCAAACCCTCAGACTTCAGCTTACCTAAAAGAGACGGGAACAGTCAGGGTTTAAATTAAAGTTGTATGGAGGATTTTTTTTTTTTGTTTCAAATTGTCAGTGAAAGATTAAAATACCATTACAGAGACGCAGCAGCTTTGTAATTATGATGACCAAAAAAAAAAGAACGAAAATCTATCAACTGTGGACGTAGTGAGGCCAGATAAACATCAGCCAATAGAAAACTAGGCTCCCTCATTTTCTATTGGCTGTTAGATTGTCAATCAAACTCCCTAGTATAACTGACTCGTCGGAGCGCGGGGATTACGTGGTTTACGCAGTGGTTCTTAGAGGCATTTTCGAACTGTCGCTTCCTCGCATTTCGCACAAAGTTTGTCGCGACGGCGGACGAGAATCCACGACCATTTCGCCGCAAAAGAAAGTCCGTTTTTGAGGTCGCTGAAAGAAGAAGAGAAGTGGAAAAGTAGCAAAGCCAAACTGAGGTGATTCTTGGAGAACTTGTCCAGCGATGGCGTGACTGAAGCAGACGAAGGGTCTAAAAACTGACGCGTCGGTCGCTGAATTACTTCTAGACAGGAAACTTCAACAGTAATTCTGAATGCGCACAAGAACTGTTGCTGTATTTCTCTTCCCTTAAAAAAATCCTCTATACAACCTTTAAGTGTGAGACGTGCGTAAACAGGCTTTTCAACGTAAGACTTCTTGATTTAATTTTAATCTTTAACTCACCATCAAGTCTGTCTGGAACCACACACGTGTCGTCGTAGTACATCTGTGGATCTCTGTGTGGGAATCCTGTTTAGATATATTTAAAAAAAGAAAACGTTGACTCAAATTTTGACAAAATACACCAACAATATGTATAAAATGAATAAAACTCACCATGGTGGTTATTCCTGTACAAATGCGGAGGCTTATCGAAGGAGGATTGGCAGCTTTGGACATCTGGAACATAGAAACATATGAAAAAAGCCTGATTATAACTCAAATTTACACAACTGGATTCTAAATTTTGATCTAATTCCACCTAACAAGGTAACACCTATTTTCTTATTTACAGCTGCTATTTATGTTGCTCTTTACATATTATTTTAAATCATCATTATTATTGTTGTTGTTAGGAACGGTGTCGCTCTGCACACAACTATTGTCTTACACTAACAATACTTCATCGACGCTGAGACACCTGCGTGACAATGGTTAAATTTGTCCACTAGAGGTCAGTGTTTCTCCGAGGCCTCAGACACGTCGAACCATTTGAGACAATATTGCGACTGAGGTGTCAATGCTTCACGAGGCTCCGTTCACCCATCACTAATAAATTGTTTAGCTCAGAGCCTGTTAATAAATTCTAGCATGTGAACTACAGTCTGTATATATAATCGACTCTGTTTTCAAGTGACTTCACATTGGAAATTCGTGTCCTCTCTCTCTGTACCTGCTGCTGTGAGCCTCGACTTTTATGATTTTGGTCTTAAAATGTTCGTGTTAACCCGCTCTACGTGATCCTGCTGTTTTTATTTCACTATTTCGGACCGTCTTACTTACCCGTGTCAAAGGCGTGGTCTCGGGGCTCCTGCTTGATGGAGACGAGGGGGTATGTGCCCGTCTGTGGGGGGGCAGGGGCGGGCACAGAGGCGGGCACAGGAGGCGGGTACATGGGGTCCACCAGCTCCTGTTTGAACAGAGGAGCTCCAGGCGGGACCAGGGGCTCCGAGTGGTGCCTCTGGTAGAGCGGGCGAGACGAGGCAGAGGAGCCAGAGGCGCCCGGGGGCAGGAACTGTAGGCTGGGGTCTGATAACTGTCTCTGGAAACTATAAACAAACACAAAAATAAACAAATCACAACAATGAAAAGGACAATTATTAAAACGTATCGAAAAGCTACTGTCATTTATTTAATTTTTATCAAATTTATTTATTTTTATATGTAATTATTTAATTTTATGTAATTTTTTTATCTATAAGTAATTTTTTCTCATGGTTTGGGTGTTAAACGAGGACTGAACCAGTTCTAAACCAGGACTAAACCAGATCTAAACCAGGACTAAACCAGGATCTAAACGAGGACTGAAACAGGTCTAAACCAGATCTAAACGAGGACTAAACCAGGTCTAAACCAGATCTAAACCAGGACTAAACCAGGACTAAACCAGATCTAAACCAGGACTAAACCAGGTCTAAACGAGGACTGAAACAGGTCTAAACCAGATCTAAACCAGGACTAAACGAGGACTGAACCAGATCTAAACCAGATCTAGATGAGGACTAAACCAGGACTAAACCAGGTCCATGGAGATGTTATTGCTTTGTCTGGAATGTTCCACAGTATGGGCACTAAACCTTTCTATCTTCACGGAGGCCAAATCAGACCAAGTTACAGGTCAGATCTGTGGAGAGGCGACGCCGCTCACAGTCAAAATGTCTGTTTTTCTAGGTATTTTTGAGCTTTAAACAGCTCTACTTTGCATTTATTCATTTACAGGTGGTTTAAAGTCACACTGTGGAACATTCCAGGCAGAACAGTCACACAGAACAAACTCTCAAACCGAAAAGTTACATAGTGCACCTGAAAATCATTCTCTTTGTCTCTTGTGGTTGAATAAATATAAGATGTAGTAAAAATAAAGTGAGTATCATTGGGAAAAAACAATAAACTAGTAAAAACCTCGACTAACTGAGCCATAAATATGAAATAAAAATACAAAAAAGGTTTAAAACGTGTGATATTCTGAACTTCACTGACCGTTGCTGTGCGCTGTAGGCTCCACTGGGGGGCGCTGGTCCGTGGGGCATCACAAAAGTTTGGCTCTGGCCGTGGTGAGGAGGAGGAGGAGGGGCAGGAGCAGGGGGGAGGGTCTGAGGGCAGTGACGGACAGGCGGAGCAGCCAATGGGTGAGCTTGTCTCTGCAGAGGGGGCGGGGCTTTGAGTCCGGCGGGTTTGGCGTCACAAGAGGCACTGGAATGAGATGGAAGTTTAGTAAATTACATGAAAATAAAGGATTTAAAGAGTGGAGATTTGCGGTTAAAGCATAAGGAGAGTCTAAAGTGGCAGTTACTTAAACCACGGCATTATCGCTCCGTCAGAACCAACTTTTACATCACTTTTTAAGACTCATTTTTATCGACTGGCCTTCATTTAACTGGTTTTAGCTTGATTTTATTCCTCTTTTATTTTTTTTCTATTAACTTTAATTTTTTTATTATTATTATAATTATTTGGATTGTTTGAATCATTGTCTGTTTTTGTTTGCCCACTGTTTGACATTTTTATGCTTTTTGTATTGTTCTTCTTTGTAAAAGTTGCTTTTAAAAGTACTTTATAAATAAAGATTGACTAAACGAGGTCTAAACAGGTCTAAATCAGGTCTAAACCAGGTCTAAACCAGGTCTAAAGGAGGACTGAACCAGGTCTAAACCAGGTCTAAAGCGAGGACTGAACCAGGTCTAAAGGAGGACTGAACCAGGTCTAAACCAGGTCTAAAGGAGGACTGAACCAGGTATAAACCAGTTCTAAACCAGGTCTAAACGAGGACTGAACCAGGACTGAACCAGTTCTAAACCAGGAACCCTGAGCTCGAGGAACAGAGTCCTGGTTCAGTCCTGGTTCGGTCCTGGTTCGGTCCTGGTTCGGTCCTGGTTCAGTCCTGGTTCAGTCCTGGTTCAGTCACTGCCAAGTATCTCCGGTTTAACATCTGAGTTGCAGCTATTTTATTTTATTATTTTATTTGTTATTTTTTTACATCTCACGTCGGGAGAAGTGAGTGGACGGAAAAACACGATAGAAATTACAGATTAAAACGGAAAAACCTAAATCTGCAGGTTTGTGTGTTAAACATGAGTCAATAAAACAAAACACAACTTCATGTACATTTGTGATGAGGAAACGACATAAAAAATCAAACTTTAACCAAATTTAAACCCAAAACGTCCAAGATTTCTAAATGTTTTTATAATTATCTCGCGCTGCGGCTTCCTTCTGCTTTGAGATCTACAGATTGCTGGTTGTGCAGAGTAAACAGACATTGCACAAGTGAAGACAAGTCGAATGAGTCACCGCTTCATGAAAACAAAACCTGAAGAAGCAGCAGCAGGAGGAGGAGGGGGAGGAGGAGCCAGGGGCCAAACCAAAGCACCATTTAAGATCCGATAATGGGCCCTAAACACACGCTACCGTCAAATCAAACTCATAAATCTGTCACGCTGCTGGATAGGAGCTCTGCGATGGGAAATTTAAAACAGTCAGGAGTCCATTTCACAGCTAGAAGAGTCTACAAGAGGAAATGAGGAAATATGCGAGGCCAGAGCGTCGTTTATAAACAAATAAAATGTTGATAGAGACAAAAATTATCGCATTGTGTAACTTTGCTGGTGAAGGGTCTGTCGAGTGCTTTTCTCCACTGAGATGTTATTGATTTGGCTAGAGTGTTTCATAGTATGATATTAGACTTTTCTGTCGTCATGGAGACCAAACCAGAGCAAGTTACAGGTCAGATCTGTGGAGAGGCGACCACGCTCAGTCAGAATGCCTGTTTTTTTAGGTGTTTTTGAGCTTTAAAACCTGCACCTGTAATTGAATAAATGTAAATAGAGATGTTTAATGTCACACTGTGGAACATTTAAGGCAGAGTAATGACGTATCCATAGAAACAAGCAGGTGACGGAGCCCCAACCAAGAAGTTACGCAGTGCAGCTTTAAAAGAAAACAGTGAATCTCCCATAGAGTTATATAGAAATCATCAAATTTAAGGACTAAACTATATTCAGAGGCGGTGCTACCAGACTAAACCAGGTCTAAACCAGGTCTAAACCAGGTCTAAACCAGGTCTAAACCAGGTCTAATCTTAGACTTGAGAGAGCTTGAGAGAGGGAACCCTGAGCCCAAGAAACAGAGTGTCAAGCGCAATCGGGCGATGGCTGCGCTTAGACCCGTGGGGCTCGGAGTTCTGCACCAGTTCTTTCGCCTGTGATCACAATATGGTCTACGCGGGTGGACCTCCCAACACTCGGTCCTGGTTCGGTCATTGCCAGTATCTCTGATTTAACATTTGAGTTGTAGCTATTTTATCTTATTAGGGTTTTTTTTTGTTTTTTGTTTTTTTACATCTCACGTCTGGAGAAGTGGGTGGGCGGCGTACCTTTAAAAGAAAACAGTGAATCTTCTGTAAAGTTCTATAGAAATCATCAAATTTAAGGACTAAACTATAATCAGAGGCGGTGCTACCACTAGGCAACAGTAGACGGCCACCTGGGGCCCCTGAACCTGCAGGGGCCCCCAACCTCAGAGCAATTTGTTTTTCTCTCAGTATGACATTAAATGAGTGGTTTACTTTTAAACAAGAAAACCCCATCAAAATAGAATCTGATTGACAGTTAAAATAGATTTGACAAAGTATTCCCATTTCTTTCATAGCATAATAATAATCATATGTAATAGATGTAAACAAAAATGTAATTACTAGCAAAAAAATACAACAAATTTCAGCTCTGGTCATCTAGTATTCGACCTAACGAAGGTTATGTTTACAATGAAACGAATCACTGTATCGGAAACGATTTGCATCCAGACATGTTGTTTCTGTGTCCGCAATCAAAGTCTTCCGTAACGCAAAACCGCCTGAAACACTAGTCACATGACTAGGCTGGCGTCACGTCTTCACAATGTCACATGGGCAGTAAAAACAAGGATGTGGAGCACCGTGTCTAAAGTTGCAGCAGCCAATTTTGAGTCAAGGAAGATGGTAAGCGTGAAAGTAGTAAGTAGTTCTAGCTACGCCATTTCCCATTTGTCTCTGGTTTGTTTAAAGTGTTTTCCGCAACAGTGTCACATGACTTATATCATGAACCCAGCGAATCAGGAAGGAGCAAGTCACAGTGACATGGTCCAGTAAGGACACAACGAGAGCTCCTATATCAGAGTATCAGCGTTTTCAGGCGTCCACACAGTGTCGGATCAGATCCATAATCAGATGAATTTGTGGCGGCATCAGATCGCTCCGACTCTGGAGCCGTTTTCCATCAGATTAGTGTGAACGAAAACTGCATCCACAACGAAAATGACTCAATATGTACTAATGTGGGTGGGGCCTGATAAGACAAGATTCCAATCCACCCTAATTCAAATAAAGATGTGCTTGTCTCATGAACAATGGGAAAATACAAAAAAAATAAAAAAAATTGTAGTGAGGGCCCCCAAATATCTAACTCCGCCACTGCCTATATAACAATATTAATGCGAAATAACACCACCAAATGTATAAAATATCCTAAATAAAGCACTGCAAAGATATTTTAAACTTAAAACGAGACAATTCCACCATCTCTCCTCCTCTTTCTGCATGTAAAAGCAGCTGTGTACAGTGAGTGTGGTACCTGTATGGATAGAGGCACATGTCTCTGTGGGGGGTCCTGCAGGGCGACTGGGAGCTGGGGCTGGACTCCCTCTTCACCCTCTGCACCATGGGGCCACTCGCAGACACTGGACGAAAACAAGATTACATTAAATACAACAACAACAACAACAACAACAACAGAACCACTGATGACGTGAACAAGGAACAAGGAAATCAAAGGTCCCATATTACGCAAAATGGACTCTTGTGAGGTTAAAGTCGTGTTATAATGTTGTTACCGCATCACAAACAAACCTGGACTTTTGTTTTTCATTCACACACACTTTGTTATTATCAGTAGGGTGTAACAATGTGCAAAAATATCAAAATATTGATATATCGTATTGTTTAATGTGATGAAACAGTATCGACATGTCGCCAAGAGTATTTTTAAGTACATTTTACTAAATTATTTTGTTTCAATGCTGTTTGTTTAGAAAAAGGAAACTTGTTTATGCGACACATTTGAAATTTTCAGTTTCGATGATTAAAATGTTTGTGTTTCATATGAACTTTGCACAAGAAGTGGTTTAACAAAGACTGTAACAAAGACACAGCCATGATTTAGCCTTTATTTTTATTGAATCATATTGAATTATAAGTGCAGTGTATCGTATCATGGCCTACGTATCGAGGTATTTATCATATCGGCAACTTTTGAATGATACTCCGTCCTAGTAGAGTGACCAGACGTCCCTATTTATACCCGGGACAGTCCCAGTTTGGAGCCCTGTGTCCCCGTCCCAAAACCAGTTTTATAAAATGAATGTCCCTGGTGTCCCTATTTTTGACCAATTTGATCTAAACCAGGACCAAAACAAGATTATCACAACTTTTGACTGATCTGATCCCTGCTAACAGTAAAAGAGGAGCATACATTTTGTTGTTTGTTTTGCCAAAATACAGAAAACCGTGTTTGTGAATGACCATAAAGCAAAAAAATGCGGCATCAGAAGTCCCACAGATGTAGCCCAGTGCCTCCACTCAATTTCATTTCTCTCCAGCGACGAGGTCAGGAATCAGAATACATCAAACCGTTTACAAGAACTCCAGAAGTTGTAGACCAAACACCGGCCAATCAGAGAAGAGCTGTGAAGCCATGACATCAAACTCAAGCATCTGTCTGGGTCCCTTTTGTGGTACAGCACAACAGTAAACAAAGCGTCGAGATGAATGTAGATGAAGTCATATTCCCAAGATCGAGGATTTAAAGCCAGAACAAAGAGAATGTTTGGTGAATTTTATCAAGGGGAAAGACGTTATTGTCCTTTTTCCTACAGGATTTGGAACTTTACATACGTCACGACCAAACGGCAGCGATTGGTTAAATAAAAAAAGTACCCGTCTACCGTCGAGCGAACGAATCCTAATGCTGCGAGGTCACACGGTTTCCACGAAGTGAAACCGGCCGATGAATCAGGCTAGTCTATACCAGGACTATCACAATTTTTGACTAAATCTAAAACTAGATCCCCGCCAACAGAAAAAAGGAGCATAAACTGTCATTTGTATTGCCAAAACACATTAAAAAATCGTGTTTGCGAATGATTATAAAGCACGAAAATAAATAAAAAGCATCAGAATTCCCTCAGATTATGACTGACAAGAGAATGTTACATGGTCTTTTCACAATTTTCTTTACACAAACCATGCCAACCCTGGTGAAAATCTGGCCGCTCTAATCATCAGTCTCCATCTCCAAAGCTCAAAATGCTCTGTTCCACCTTGTGATGTCACGAAGCTGTGCAGTTTACGTTCACAGCTACATTTTTTATCTTTAATTCAGTAAAAATTGTCAATTCCAGGGCTGAAATTATCCAAATGTTTCTAGTGAAGTGTACGTTTGTGATGAGGAAACATAATAAGATGAATCAGGAAAAAAAAGCGTAATATGGACCCTTTAATTTTTATTAGTGGCGTTTTAATGGTTTTCAATCTCGTTATAATGTCCCTGTTCCCGTCTGTGTGGCGCACGAGTCACTGCTTGGCTTTTACGTCACTGCTCCTCTAAATTTCCACCTCGCGTCCGTTGTTCAAACATTAAGCCAACGCCAGTGTCCAGGAGAGTCATAAATTCCCAGTTTAACGGAGTGTCCCTGAACCTGCCGCACGATGACAATGTTTGAAATCGGCAGGTGATGTCTGGAATGGGTTTATGGCCTCGGCTTCCTGTCATAACAGCTGGCGGGTTTCCAACGATCGTTTAGATTTAGATCACACGATTATAATGAGAATACTACTGTTCACATTGTGCTTCCTCATCAAAAACTTAACGTAGACAGAAGGGGTGTGACAATAACCAAAATATCGTGATATCGTGTCGTCAAAGTTCTCACAATAATATCGTGGACCATCACAATATATCGAATTACAAGTGTGTTTGCTTAAATTAAGAGTTATGGTGCAGCAACAGCTCAAAAAAACAGAGGGAACTACATAGACCATGATCCTTTGCTCCATTTCAGTGCAGACTACAAGAAGAAATAAGAGTTTTAAGTCATAGTTCTTTGTTAATATGCTACTTTTTCCTCTTAAAATGCCTTGACAAGACTTAATTCAGTTTTGTTTAGCCTCCACAAATATCGCAATAAATATCGTACCCTGAGATGTATATCGTGAAAATATCGCACAGAGAGATTTGGATATCGTTACATCCCTAATCGTGAGCTTTCCCACCATATCGTGAGATTTTATGGAGTAAGAAAGCTTTCAGAAATATTTAAGGAATGTGCACATTTGGCTGTAGCTGAGCATGAAAATAAATATTTGTAAATATTTCTCGAATGAGTCCAGTCGTACATAAACTGTGTCCTGCGTATTTTATCCATCAGAATACGAACTGAAAAGTTAAGACGTCAAGAATTACAATCACGAAATGAAAATTTACGATTACGCTTTCTTCAGTACGAATACGAATTCACAGATGGGACTCGACTGTCAAAAACACAACATCACCTGACAGGCATTATTTACTGAGCAGAAGAATCCTGAAGTCCTGGTTTAGTCCTGGTTTAGTCCTGCTTTAGTCCTTGTTGAGTCCTGGTTTAGTCCTGGTTCAGTCCTGGTTTCAGTCCTGGTTTCAGTCCCTGGTTCAGTCCTGGTTTAGTCCTGGTTCAGTCCTGGTTCTGGTTTAGTCCTGGTTTAGTCCTGGTTTAGTCCTGGTTTAGTCCTGGTTCAGTCCTGGTTCAGTCCTGGTTCAGTCCTGGTTCAGTCCTGGTTCAGTCCTGGTTTAGTCCTGGTTTAGTCCTGGTTTAGTCCTGGTTTAGTCCTGGTTTTAGTCCTGGTTCAGTCCTGGTTTAGTCCTGGTTCAGTCCTTGTTTAGTCCTGGTTCAGTCCTGGTTCAGTCCTGGTTTAGTCCTGGTTCAGTCCTGGTTTAGTCCTGGTTCAGTCCTGGTTCAGTCCTGGTTCAGTCCTGGTTCAGTCCTGGTTCAGTCCTGGTTTAGTCCTGGTTTAGTCCTGGTTTAGTCCTGGTTTAGTCCTGGTTTAGTCCTGGTTCAGTCCTGGTTCAGTCCTGGTTTAGTCCTGGTTCAGTCCTTGTTTAGTCCTGGTTCAGTCCTGGTTCAGTACTGGTTTAGTCCTGGTTTAGTCCTGGTTCAGTCCTGGTTTAGTCCTGGTTCAGTCCGTATGCGGTAGGACCGGGTATCATTCGATATATTCCAAATCGATTCAATAAAGTTCAATAAAAAAATAAAGGCTAAATCATGGCTGTGATCCTAAAAGTCTTTGTTAAACCACTTCCTGTGCAAAGTTCATATAAAACACACAAATTTTTAATAATCAAAAGACTGTGAAAATGTCAAATGTGTTGCACAAATGAGTTTCCTTCCACTAAACAAGCAACAAAACTGTAGTTGTAACAAAAGAATTTAGTCAAATATACCAAAAAAATACTCTTGGTAATATATCGATACAGCAGCCTACAATATCGATACTGTATCATCACATTAAACGATACGATATATTGATATTTTTGCACACCCCTAGTATGCGGAGCAAAATCTGGCATCTCAATCGATGTTTCTTCTGCTCAGTAAATGATGCCTGTGAAGAGATGAGGTATTTTTGACAGCCGAGTCGCGTCTGTGAAATCGTATTTGCACTGATGAAAGCGTAATCGCAAATTTTCATTTCGTGATTGTAATTCTCGATGTCGTAACTTTTCAATTCGTATTCTGATGGATAAAATACACACAATACATTTTATATACGACTGGACTCATTAGAGAGTTCACGAATATTTATTTTATGCTCAACTACAGCCAAATATGCACACAAATATTTCTGAAAGCTTTATTACTCCATAATAATGTAATAAATATCGTACCATGACGATATCGTTACACCCCTAGTAGACAGACTAATAATAAAGAGTTACTCAAACATGTGTGAATGAAACAAAACACAACTCCAGGTCTGTTTTTGAGGAGGTAACAACATTATAACATGCCATAAACTGCCACCACATTCATACATAAGAAAAATAAGTAATGTGTCTTGCTCAAGGACTAGGGATGTAACAGTAACCGAAATATCGTGATATTGTATCGTCAAAAGTCTCACAATATCTGTCACAATATATCGAAATGCAAGTTTCTTTGCTTGAATGCATTTTTTATAGTAGCAATAGCTAATAAACAATGGGAACTACATATCCCATGATTCATTTCAGCACAGACAACATGAAGTTATGTTTTTTACTTGAATTCCTGGGATTATGACAGTAATAATTCACACCAAAATCTTGTCAAGGTATTTTAAAACACAAAAAAGTGTCCTATCTACAATTATATCAGCCTCTCCAAAATATCGCAATAAATATTTTACTGGATATCGTGATAATATCGTACCGAGAGATTTGGATATCGTTTCATCCCTATCAAGAGCAAAACCACACTGTGCACTTTTTCCTACTCACCGTTATTTGGCTGAAAATCTGGGACAAACTGCTCGTCGTCTGGAGACTGGGCTACAAAGACAAAAGACGAGAAAACGATGAAATCACATACAGCCTAAAATAATAAATCCTTCTTATAAAAGCTCTTCACTCGTCAAAACTTCACCTTCTGCAATCCAGATCTCCTGAAGTTGGAACAGATCTTGGAAAAGGTCTGGGAGAAAAAAACAACAACATTCACATTTAGCTTTATTTTTTACGATGACTTGTCCAAAATATTGCGTCACTTTGACAGTTTTTAAGTACCTTCGGTGTCTTGAGCCAGTTCGGTCTCCATAAATTTCCTTTTTCTGCTGTTCAAACGCCCCTCGTCTGCGGCGGGACCTCTCTGCAAAAACAACTCTTACATTAATAATTTATAAAGTGTCCGACGTCACGCTTCAAGTCGTGTTATTGTGTAGTTTTTCTCTTTACAAACAAACCCGGAGGTGAACAAACAAAACGCAACTCCAGGTCTGTTTTTTTGTCAATTTTGTGTAATACGAAACCTTTAAAAAGCAGGAATTCTGTATTTTTCTGTGACTAAATGTATTTTCTAAGTCAGATTTGTTTTGACTGGATTAAACTCACCCTCTCTGGAACCCCAAAGGGAACCTGCTGGTCATAAAAGCCGTCCATGTTTGAGAGATCTCCACTCTGAAATACAAACAATACACAATCCTGTTAAAAACGACACATTTCAGTTCTGTAAGTCAAAAATATGTGTTAATTTTGAGGGTTTATACTGAAATTAAGAGCCACCAAAACACCAGAAACAAGAAAATGGTCAAGAGTTAAAATATATTTGCCCATTACAGCCTGGAAGTGCAGCTATAAGACAAAAAAATAAACAACTTTTTGCAGTAGTAGTAGTTTTTGTAGCAGTGCTAGTAGCAGTAGTAGTCTTTTTGTAGTAGTAGTGGTAACAGTACTAGTAGTTTTTACAGTACTAGTACTAGTAGCAGTAGTGGTTTTGTAGCAGTACTAGTTCTTACAGTGGTAGTAGTAGTAGCAGTTCTAGTAGTTTTTGTTGTAGTAGTAGTACTTTTTGTAGTAGCAGTAGTAGTACTTTTTGTTGTAGTAGTAGTAGTAGCAGTAGTAGTAGAGTAGTAGTACTTTTTTTAGTAGTAGTAGTAGTAGTAGCAGTAGTAGTAGAGTAGTAGTACTTTTTGTAGTAGTAGTAGTAGCAGTAGTAGTAGAGTAGTAGTACTTTTTGTTAGTAGTAGTAGTAGCAGTAGTAGTAGAGTAGTAGTACTTTTTGTAGTAGTAATAGCAGTAGTAGTTCTTTTTGTAGTAGTAGTAGTAGTACTTTTTATAGTAGCTGTAGTAATAGTAGTAGTAATAGTAGTAGTAGTAGTAGTAGTAGTAGTGGTTTTTGTAGTTGTAGTAGTTTTTGTAGTTGTAGTACTTTTTGTAGTGGTAGTGGTAGTAGTAGCTGTAGTAGTAGAGTAGTAGTACTTTTTGTAGTAGTAGTAGTAGTAGTAGTAGTACTTTTTGTAGTAGTAGTAGCAGTAGTAGTTCTTTTTGTAGTAGTAGTAGTACTTTTTGTAGTAGCTGTAGTAATAGTAGTAGTAGTACTTTTGTAGTAGGTGTAGTAATAGTAATAGTAGTAGTAGTAGTAATAGTAGTAGTAGTAGTAGTAATAGTAGTAGTAGTGTTTTTTGTAGTTGTAGTAGTTTTTGTAGTTGTAGTACTTTTTGTAGTAGTAGTAGTATTTCCTATGCCACATTGTCTTTCTCCTTTTATTATAATAAGATCTTAAAACATTTTCCATGTCTGAATTTAATGTCTTTAGTGTCTTTTCTGAATTCTACTTTGTCGAAATAAAATAAAAGTAAACACGGGCCCCCGGTACGTGCCCCGCGTCGCCGCTTATGTCGTAGTTACGTCCCTGCGCGCGCCTCTCTGGTACATTTGTGAATGAAGCTCGCGGTGACGCACGCACCCGCGAGCCCTCCTTGTTTTTCTCAATGGACTGAAACTCGAGCCCGTCCAGAGGGGTTAACGAGCGCAGGGACGAGGAGGACGGGGGGGGGGCTGCCATGCCACGGCTCAAAACCCACACCGTTAATAAATCGCAACTAGCACCGCTGAAATGTCCGTAAAACGCTGACGGTTGCGGAAAAAAGCTCGCTTTGCTTCCAAAAAAAATTACGCAGAAAATGGCGTGAGCGCTGCATGCCCCCCCCCTACCCCCCCTCCAAACCTCTCGCTACCTGGCGCTGTCCAAAACCGTCGCGCGTGTCCGCCTAAACCCGCATTTCCCCAACCCGTAACAAACATTTAACACGCTTCCTACCTCGAGTGAAGTTCGTAGTGCGCAAATGTCGTGTTCCGATCGCGTTTGCCCGCACTACATCGCCTGCATCTCCGCGTACAAAACTCCACTCTGTGTTTTTCTCAATGAAGCGTCTCCCGAGGTGCTAAATCCAAACCGACCTCTGTTCTCGGCGCCGATTGGCCGAGCGCGCTGTCCGTCAAACGCCTCGGCCAATCGCGCGGCAGAGCACAGAACCCGCCCCTCCTCCGTGTTCTTTATGAATGGCTGCGCTTCATTCATGAATTCACAGCTCTCTTAAAGCGCCACACGACGTTTTTCCACGTTTCTACCTTTTTGTACCGACACATTTAAGACTAAACTACACAAGCGTGGTCAGAAGTATCGAAAAACAGATATTAATCGATTCTAAAACTGATATTGAAAAGTAGATACTCATTTTTCACAGGGATTGACACTAAAAAAGTCCAAAATTAACCTTTCCTGAAGAGTTTTTAAACGATTTTGAGCAAGTTTAAGAGTTACTTAGGGATTACACAGATATAACACGGTAATGTCGGTAGAAAATCACATTCTGTTGTCTAAAGAGAGAGTGTTTTTTATGATCAGAATTGTTATTGTGAATCAAGTTTGAGATTACTTCCGCAGATATCATAAAATTGTCCAAATCATTAGACAGATTATAGCACGGTTACAATACAAAAGGCACGTGTGCAGTGTTCCGAAGCAGCCATAAAGCCGTTTATTAGTTTATCAGATTTTATTATTGTATTATTGTGTTTCCTCTGCTTTGTTTTCACTGCCAAGACTTGGCGTAAACTCAAAACAACAAGTATTTTAACAGACTGAGTTCCGCTGGCCTCATTAACCTTTCGAATTTTATGATTAAGGTTCATAATCTTGGCTTTTTCTTCTAAAATGTGACAGTTTTAGTTCAGTTTGTCCTGATTTAGTCCTGATTTAAGTTCTAGTTTGGTCTATGGTTCAGTCCATCATTAACGCTTGTTTAGTCCTGGTTTAGTTCTGGTTTAGTCTTGGTTTTGGTCCTGGTTTGGTCTATGGTTCTGTCCATCATTAATGCTGGTTTAGTCCTAGTCTAGTTTTGATTTTGGTCCTGGTTTGGTCCATGGTTCAGTCCATTATTAAGGCTTATTTAGTCCTGATTTAGTCCTGGTTTAGTCCTGATTTTGCTGTGTTTTAGTCCTGGTTTAGTCCTGATTTAGTCCTGATTTTGCTTTGGTTTAATCCTGGTTTAGTCTTAGTTTAGTCCTGATTTAGTCTCGTCCATCATTAATGCTGGTTTAGTCCTGGTCTAGTCTTGATTTTGGTCGTGGTTTGGTCCATGGTTCAGTCCATTATTAACGCTTATTTAGTCCTGATTTAGTCCTGGTTTCATCCTGGTTTAGTCCTGGTCTAACCCTATAGTCCTGGTTTAGTCCTGGTTTAGCCTTGGTTTAGTCCTGGTTTAGTCCTGGTTTAGTCTTGGTTTAGCCGTACGATCTTGGTTTAGTCCTGGTCTAGCCTTGGTCTAATCCTATAGTCCTGGTTTGTTTAGTCCTGATTTAGCTTTGGTTTAGTTCTGGTTTATTACTAGTTTAGTCCTTGTTTAGTCCTAGTCTAGTCTTGGTGTTGCTCCGGGTTTGGTCCATGAGTCAGTCCATCTTCATGCTTGTTTAGTCCTGGTTTAGTCCTGATTTAGCCTTTGGTTTAGTCCTGGATCTGGTACTGATTGAGTCTTGGTTTAGTCTTGGTTTTGGTCCTGGTTTGGTCCATGATTAAATCCATTATTAACACTTGTTTTGTCCAGATTTAGTTCTGGTTTAGTCCTGGTTTTTATCCCTGGTTTAGACCTAGTTTAGTCCTGGTTTTGGTCTTGGTTTGGTCCATGTTTCAGTTCATCATTAACATTTGTTTAGTTCTGATTTAGTCCTTGTTTAGTCCTGGTCTAGTCCTGATTTACTCCTGGTTTAGTCTTGGTTTTGGTCCTGGTTTTGTCCATGGTTCAGTCCATCATTAATGCTTGTTTAGTCCTGATTTAGTTCTGGTTTAGTCTTGGTTTTGGTCCTGGTTTGGTCCATCATTCATGCTTGTTTAGTCCTGATTTAGTTCTGGTTTAGTCTTGGTTTTGGTCCTGGTTTGGTCCTGGTTTGGTCCATCATTCATGCTTGTTTAGTCCTGATTTTGCTTTGGTTTAGTCCTGGTTTAATCCTGGTTTAGTCCTAGTTTAGTCCTGATTTAGTCCTAGTTTAGTCTCGTCCATCATTAAAGCTTTGGTTTAGTCCTAGTCTAGTCTTGGTCCTGGTCCTGGTTTGGTCCATGATTCAGTCCATCTTCATGCTTGTTTAATCCTGGTTTAGTCCTGGTCTAGTACTGATTGAGTCTTGGTCTAGTCTTGGTGTTGGTCCTGTTTTGGTCCATGGTTCAGTCCATGGTTCATGCTTTTTTAGTCCTGATTTAATTCTGATTTAGCCCTGGTTTAGTTCTGATTTAGTCCTGATTTAGTCTCATCCATTATTAATGCTGGTTTAGTCCTAGTCTAGTCTTGACTTTGATCGTGGTTTGGTCCATGGTTCAGTCCATCATTCACACTTGTTTAGTCCTGATTTAGTCCTGGTTTTAGTCCTGGTTCAGTCCTGCTCTAATGTTGGTTTTGGTCTTGGTTTAGTCCATGGTTTTGGTCCATCGTTCACACTGGTTCAGACTGAAATCCAGACTGAAAAAAACAACACAAGAACTAGTTTTCAGAACACGTTTGAACTCGGTTTGCAGCTTTTATTTTTACTCAGAAAAAGAGATTTTGTTGTTCGTGGAGAAAATCACGTGGGGGAAAAAAAAAATCGCTGTTTTTGTTATTTTTTGCTGATTATAATTTCGATTCGATTGCGATTAATCTCCTCCGCGCTCTCGCCTTCGGTCTGTATTTTCCCAGCGCGCCTCATGATCAGGTCTTGTCTGGACAGGAGGCCCCTCTGAACTTCACTCCAACTTTGATCATTTTTACGCTTTGAAAATCACTCCTGACAGCCGCTGTGTCACATGCACCGACTATATTGGATTTGGAGATTAACCAGGGGCAAAAACATAAAAGTGTGAATTGAAAACGGGGAAAAAAACTGGAAAAAAAAGAGTTAAAATTTCACGTTTTTAGTCCAAGAGTCGCCCGTGTTACTCTATTTTCTGATTTCCTGTTCTAATGTTGTTTCCTTGTCACAAACAGACCCGGAGTTGTGTTTTTTTTTTGTTTCATTCGCAGTCGTTTAAAATGTAAAAAACGCTCTGTTCCACCTTGTGATGTCATGCGGTGATACAGGAAGTGCTCCACTGTGTTTTTAAACTCCAAACATCTTCACTTGGACGATAAAATGTGGTCAAACTGGAACAAAAGAAGTAAAACGTTTTGTGAATTCTTAAAGATGCACTGTGTTTAGTCCTGGTTTAGTCCTGGTTTAGTTCTGGTTTAGTCCTGGATTAGCCTTGGTTTTGGTCCTGGTTTGGTCCATGGTTCAGTCCATCATTAATGCTTGTTTAGTCCTGGTTTAGTCCTGATTTAGCTTTGGTTTAGTCCTGGTATAGTCCTAGTTCAGTTCTGTTTAGTCCTGGGTTAATCCCTGGTTTAGTTCTGGTTTAGTCTCTGGTTTGGTCATGGTTTAGTCCTGTTTTAATTCTGTTTTAGTCCTGATTTAGCTTTAGTTTAGTCCTGGTTTAGTCCTTCTCCTGTTTTATTCCTGGTTTATTGCTGGTTTAGTCCTGTTTAGTCCTGGTTTAGTCCTGATTTAGTCCTGGTTTAATCCTGGTTTAGTCCTTCTTTAGTCCTAGTTTAGTCCTGGTTCAGTTCTGGTTTTGTCCTGGTTTAGTCAATCCTTGATGCTTGTTTAGATTTGGTTTAGTCCTGGTTTAGTCCTTATTTATCCCAGGTTTAGTCCTGATTTAGTCCTGGTTTAGTCCTGGTTTGGTTCTGATTAGCTTTGGTTTAGTCCTGGTTTAGTCTTAGTTTAGTCCTGTTGAGTCCTTGGTGAGTCCTGGTTTAGTTCTGGTTTAGTCTCTGGTTTGGTCATGCTTTAGTCCTTCTTTAGTCCTGGTTTAGTCCTAGTTTAGTCTTGTTGAGTCCTGGGTGAGTCCTGGTTTAGTCCTTCTTTAGTCCTGGTTTAGTCCTGGTTTAGTCCTAGTTTAGTCCTGTTGAGTCTTGGGTGAGTCCTGGTTTAGTTCTGGTTTAGTCTCTGGTGTGGTCATGCTTTAGTCCTTCTTTAGTCCTGGTTTAGTCCTGGTTTAGTCTCGTCCAGTGTGAGTGCGTCTCTGCGGTTGTGAAATGCGTCGTCAGCTCTGCCTGGACGATTAAAGCTGATCTCAGCTCTGTGTGACTGACTGGCAGCGTCTCGTGTTTACTGCACCGTCACAAAACACTAAACAACAATTAAACGTCCTAGATTACACAAAATGGACTCCTGTGAGCTTTAAGTCACGTTATAATGTTGTTAAAAACTCCAAAACAGACCTGGAGTTGTGTTTTTGTTTCATTCACATGTTTGTTTAACTCTTTATTCAAGTTCAATCAAAAAAAGTTTATGTTTTTTGTATGAAGAATTGACAATAAAGAAGTACAAATAAACATAAATGGTAAATAGTGTAAAAGTGCAAAAGTCACTTAAATTATTATCCATCCATCCATTTTATTCCGCTTATCCGGGGCCAGGTCACGGGGTCAACAGTCTAAGCAGGGACTCCCAGACTTCCTTCACCCCAGACACTAGAATCTTTTAAATCATTTCAGCCCTGGAATTGTCGATCTCTACTGAACAAAAACTAAACGAAGATGTAGACCTTGGAGATGTATACAGACTAATAATAAGTAATAAAATTAAAAATAAATAAAATAAATAAAGACCCCGAGATACTTGAACTTCTCCACTTGAGGCAATAAATCGCACAAACTGTCGAAATGAGTTTCCTTCGCACGGTGTTTGGGCACTTTTTTAGAAATAGGGTGAGGAGCTCAGTCACACTGGAGGAGCTCAGAGTAGAGCCGCTGCTCCTCCACGTCAAGAGGAGCAGCTGAGGCTCGGGCATCTGTTCCAGATGCCTCCTGGACGCCTTCCCCAGGAGGTGTTCCGGACATGTCCCACCGGGAGGAGGTCCCAGGGAAGACCCAGGACACACTGGAGGGACTATGTCTCTCAGCTGGCCTGGGAACACCTCGGGGTCCCCCCGAAGGAGCTGGAGGAAGATTTTAGTTTAGGCTGAGTCCTTCTCTAAAAACAGAAAACAGTGCATTCCACCTTGTGATGTCATTGTGTGGTAATACAGGAAGTGCTCCATTGTGTTTTTAAACTCCACACACCTTCATGAGGATCACTTGAATAATTTCAGATCTGGAATTGCCAATCTTTACTGAAATAATAGTGAAAGGAGATGTTAACTTGAAGACTACCACTACATGACATCACAAGGTGTAAACGAGCTTTTGAGCTTTGGAGATGTAAACAGACTAATAATAAAGTGTTACTCAAACATGTGTGAATGAAACAAAACCACAACTCCAGGTCTGTTTTTGAGGAAGTTACAACATTATAACACGACTTAAAGCTCACAAGAGTCAGTTTTGTGTAATATTGGACTTTTCATTGGAATTTTTCTGACAAACACTCTGATAAAGTTTAGATTAAACCCGAAGAATTAACAAAAAGACAAATACAAGAATCACATTTTAGAACACCTACTAAAATAGTCTTATAATAACTGTGTATATGTTAAATGTTTGTGATTCTGCTTGAGATTCTGTAAAACTCTAAATTAATCTGAGAGCAGAGCGCAGACGCTGTTTGTAACCACAAGATGGCGCCACATTGCTCACAAATCACTGAATCACTAAAAATCTGCTAAATTCTTTATCAAAAAACACTAGATATGATGCTTTGATTATTAAAATCTCTCCAAAATACTCACTTTTAACTCTTAAAGTACATTTTTAAACAAGTACTTCAATAGTTTGACAATAAGTAGAATTTTTCATGTGTAATTTAACTTTTACTTGTTTATGTATTAAAAAATATACATTATTATTATTATTATTATATTTTATTATTGTTTATCATAATTATTTTGATTTTATTTATATATTTTTATTTTATTTATTTTTTTATGGAAGCAATACACAAACATCAAAAACTCTGTGAATAATATTTTTAGTTGAAATTCTCACATCAAAAAAATCCAAAAGTTAAAATCCGAAGACCGTCCTTCACATAATACACATTTATACAGTAATACATTTTATTATATATATATTTTTTACATATTATGGAGTCGTCTCATTTCAGTACAAACGTGGTTAAATATTTCCAAAGGCTAAAATAAGTTACTACAAAATGTATTTAAACAGAAATATTACACAGTTCACTTCACTCGAGGAGAATAAGAAGTGCAAAATAATACACAATATAATATAAAATACGTAGATTTAGTATTATAAGTTACTATTTGGTTGGAAATTAGAGTATATTTAAATAATAAAGGTTAGATTTTAATTTTGAAATGATAAAAACATGTAATTCCATATTAAAGTTGCCCTATGTAACTTTTCTTAGGAGTTTTGAGTGTCAAAAAAAGCTCTATGTAAACCTGATTATTGTTAATTATTATTCTTAAAATGTTCCACAAGTGTATTAAACTTATCGATCTCCATGGTAACAAGCAGGTGATTTTACTAGACGAAGTTACAGGACAGATCTGTGGAGAGGCGACTCCGCTCACAGTAAGAAAGCATGATTTTTTTTGGTGTTTTTTTATGTGTTTTAAACTCCTGTAAATGAAAGAAATGCAAGATAAATAGTCGGGATGTAACGATATCCAAATCTCACGTTTTTTTTTGCTTTTAAAAGACCTTGAGAAGATTTTGGTGTGAATTATTTCCGTCATAATCCCAAGAATTCAAGTAAAAAAAGTATTTCTTCATGTTGTCTGCGCTGAAATGAATCATGGGATATGAAGTTCTCTCTGTTTCCAAGGTGTTGCTACTATAAAACCGTACATTTAAATAAAGGAACATGTAATTCGATATATTGTGAGACTTTTGACGATAAGATAGGGCTGGGCGATATGGAGCAAAAAATATATCTCGATATATTTTGCCATATCTCGATATACGATATATATCTCGATATCATTACTATAGAGCCACATCAGCCCGTTTGAGATTATAATGTGTTTAATGCAACTTTGCAAACACGTGTTTACGTTTTACAGAAACAAAACTTAAAACTGCACGGCTCATTTGCATAAACTGACATAAACAGTTGCTCCTTGTGTCGCTGATGTGGTTCAGCTTCTGTCGGACTAAAGGACACGACTCAGTGGAATATGAGTGTTCTCTCCATGGATCTATGATTCTCTCTGTGACAGAGGATGTGCTGCTGTTGGCCTTGTCTGTAAACGGTGGAAAAGGTTCGTGGTGCTAGTAACTTTCGACATTCACGTCAGTAGACACGTGTCAGCTATTTGTCCAACACCCTAAAATCGAAGTATCTCCGTATAATGGAGCCAGTTGTCCCTTTTTGAGACGAGTTCTGTATTCTCCTGGCTGGTTTTGGGCACCGCTGTGTTGAATGAGACACGCGCGAGGGGAGCGTCAAAGAGGAGGGGAAACAAAAGTGAGGAGATGGACGGCAAATAAGCGAAGCGGCAAAATCAGAATATATAAGCATTATATTGATATACACGATATGTCAAAATCCATATCAAGTTAAAAAAATATCTCGATATATTTTAAATATCGAGATATCGCCCGCCACTACAGTAAGATATCGCAACATTTTGGTTATTGTTACATCCTTAACACCAAACTTCCACTTCCTTACTCGCGTGACATTCCAGGCAAAACAATAACAACAAAGTTCCCAAGAAAAGTTACATAATGCACTTTTAGTCAGGTCAAATCTTCAAAACAATATTCGACCAAAATTCATATTATTCGACAACTGGTAAAAATGGATGTATTATTTATTAGTTCTGATGTTGTTTTCTCGTCACAAACAGACCTGGAGTTGTGTTGCTGTTTCATTCACACAAGTTTAACACACAAACGCTGCACATTTAGGCTGAGTTCTTCTCTCAAACTGAAAATACTTTTGCCCTGGAATTGCAAATCTCGACTGAACGAAAAGTGAAAAGTAGATGAACTTGTAAATTGCTAAAAATGCAGGATTCAAACATGTGTGAAGGAAACAAAACACAACTCCAGGTCTGTTTTTGATGAGGAAACAACATTATAACACGTCTTAATGCTCATAAAAATGCATTTAGTGTAATACAGGACTTTTAAACTCCCTGTCAGTCGATTCTCAGAGGAGTTTTACTTTCACTTTCCTCCTCGTGTCCCTTCACAGCAGCGGCCTCTGCTCCAGCGGCAGACTGTCCAGCAGACACTTGAGCTGCTCCTCTCCCAGTTTGATCTTGTCCTCCAGGCGGCGCTGCTCGATGATGAGCGCGGACTTCATCTTCACGAAATGCCGGTAGTCGTCCAGGCTCTCGGGGTCGAGGTGCGTCTCCATGACGACGGACACCAGCCTCTCCCGGCGGTCCAGGTTCTCCTTCAGCTCTTTGGCGTCTTCGTGCTGCCGCATCAGGAGGGAGCGCTTCTCTGTCAGGGTGAGCTAGAGAAGAAGAAGAAGGGAGACGAGTTAACTTTAGACTCACTGATACAGATTTCATGAATATCTGAAAGCACTACTCTGTCTGAAGCTCCGTTACTCAAAATAGACCTTAGGCTACGTTTATATGATGACGGTCTGAACAGAAGACACAAAAATGGCGTCGCGTCTTCCCCTTTTATTCTGCGTTTAGACGAGTGTTTTCGGGAGGAAATCTGCGTGCATACGGTGACTCAAAAGTGTGTGGAATTGGATTGTGTATGTTTGTACTTAAAGCGACAGGAGCATCTTTGGACATCAGCTCCTCCTTCCACCAGGGTATCTCCAGGTTTGACTATCCCAAAACTAAGACTTTTTTAAAGACCCTTTTAAGACCACTTAAATGAAAACTAAGACCAGCATCGCACCAGTTATGCGGCCGAAAAACACCAGATTCAGTTCTAATAATGACCAAACATCTACCGGTGCTTTATCTAGAATCTAAGAGCCACTGTGGATTAAACCGACACTTCCCCATGATCCATCCAACGTCTTTCTCCACTCTACTGATTGTTTACTCATTGCCGCCGGCGCCAAAAACCAAAGTATTGTTTATGCATACTCCAAATTAGACGTTCATACACGTTACATGATTTCACATTGTTTTTTTTCCCCTCCCTCCATTTAACATTTCACTGCAGCCCAGTTGAGTTTACAGAAAAACAAGTTAATGAAATTTAAGACCTTTGTGAAAAAAATAAGACTTGGACAACATAATTTAAGACTTTTTAAGGCCTTAATTTAGTAACATGAAATATAAGACCTTTTTAAGACTTTTAAGGCCCTGTCCACAAAGTCGTCCCATCATCGTCTGGTTCTCCAGGTCTCGTCCATATCTGTCCGACTCGCCTGCGACGACCTGGTGCATCCAGAGTTTGACAGAGGTGATTGCAGATCCTTCTCTGTTCACTAATAGTTTCTCTGCAGATTCTCGACATTTGTTAGGAGCCTCCTGTAAGTTTATTAGACACATGGAAATGATCTAACGTGTTTGTTTGTATGTACGTGACGTAAAAGTGTACGCGACGTGAGCAGATCTGACCAGAGTTTTGTGTTTTGGACAGTGTAGACGGAAACACAACAGCGGAGTGTATTCAACTTTTTCACTCTGGGGGGAGGTTTCAGATTTTTGAGTTTTTAAGCCCCAAAAAGCCAAAACCAAAGGCATTTCTGATAAAATATTTTGTCGTTTTTACCTGCAGGCGTTCTCGTGTAAACAGGTCCTTAATTTGAGCTTTATTTTAACACAATCTGACCAGAAAGAGCTGATTTAGTTGGAACTGTTCTGTTAAATAACCACTAGAGGGCACTAAAAGCCAGTTTGAGAATTGGGGACAGAATAGAGTTGAAAATTTAATGAGTGAATTTTCTATTTAGAATTTTAAAAGAGAATTATTTTTGTTCAGAATTTTAGTTGCTGAAATTTTAAGTATACATTTTCAGAGTAAAAAAATTCAAAATGAGGACCTCAGCTGTATTTAAAATTCTAAATCTGATGGAACACGTGATCTTCCAGAGTTTTTACGCGCGTGTACCTTCTCGTTGTTCGGCGCATCCTCCTCCAGACTGTTCAGAGCGTTCTCCACTCGGGCGAGGCGTCCGGACAGAGACAGGAGCAGGGACACCACTTTGTCCAGGTCTCCCACGAACATCCTGAAGCGCTCCAGCTGGTTGGTCTGACAGCTCCTCTGCACCGTCGCCTCCACCTCCCTCCCCAGGGCCTCGTTCTGCTCCACGTCCTCCTGCAGAGACTCTCGGGCCTCTCGGAGCACCTCCAGTTTACGCGCCAGGCTCCAGATCAGCTCCAACTGCAAAACCATGAGACAGAGTTCACATTAAAGGTGAATTCATCGTGTAACTTTTCTGTCAAATGCTTTTCTCCATTAAAGTCTTTCTCTTTTTTTTAAATTTTATGATGATTATTTATGTTTTGACTTGTTCGTTTTGTGATTTTAATGTATTTCTTATTCTGTAAAGCACTTTGAATTACTTTGTGCACGAATTCTGCTCTATAAATAAACTTGCCTTTCTTTGCCTTGGTCTGGAATGTTCCACAGTACAGCATTAAACCTTTCTATCTCCACGGAGACCAAACCGGACCAAGTTACAGGTCAGATCTGTGGAGAGGCGACGCCGCTCACAGTCAGAACGCCTGTTTTTCTAGGTATTTTTGAGCTATAAAACCACCTGTAGTTGAATAAATGTAAAGTAGAGCTGTTTAAAGTCACACTGTGGAATATTCCAGGCAGAGCAATGACGTATCCATGGAAACAAGCAGGTGCACCATTAATCCAGGAGACTATGGTGGGCTCACATAGTCTAAAATAGTCCCCCTGTAGTCTAAAATAACCTGGAATCTTGATACTGTTCCGATCTACATGTATCTCTATTGGGGGAATATTCAGCAGTTACCACGGTGACACGACGCACACATTGGCAAACACTGACAAAAACGCTTTAAGGTGGTCTGATAAAGTCATGAAAAAAATACAAAATGGATTTAAATTAATCGTCAGGAGCCTGTGATCAGTCCGAGCTTGTGACGGTTATTTTTATGTGTGAGAGACTTTAACAGCACAATTCTTATTATTATTATCACAATTTATATTTTTTTCTCTTTGTTATTATGTTATATTGTGATTTGTGAGCCACTGTGTCCAAGTAATTTCGCTGGTGGATCAATAAAGTTTGTCTCTATTGTACTTTTTAAGGTTAAAGGTAGTGATGGAATGAGATCTTGTGCCACTTTAAGTCTAATAAAAGTCGGATCTACACTGAAATCTGCTTTTAAGTCCATATTAGACATTGTACAGATATTTTCTCGTGTCTTTCGTACCTTTTTGCTGGCCAGGTCAGTGTCCAGCTCGTCCTCGGAGTCCTGCTCCAGCTCCTGCCCCATGTCCTTCATTTTGATGAGCAGCTCAGCTTTAGGAGCGGACGTGTTGTAATACGACGAGCTGGGGACGAGACACGAAGAGGCCGAGAGAGACGCGCCGTCCTCCTCCCTCCTGAGAACGACACAAAACTACACTTACAAAGGAACTGTGTGTATCCTGAGCTCTTACAGTTAAAAAAAAGTCCTATATTACACGAAATTGACTCATGTGAGCTTTAAGTCGTGTTATAATGTTGTTTCCTCCTCAAAAACAGACCTGGAGTTGTGTTTTGTTTCATTCTATTTCATGCTGTTTGGTTGTGATGTATGTCATGTGCCGCTAACTGGTATATTAAGCTTTTCCCAAATCTCGTAGGAAAAAGGACAATAACGTCTTTCCTCCTGACCTAGTCGCTGGAGAGAAATTAAATTTAATTTAAATATTATTATAACAAACAACTCTTCCATCATGTCCAGTGTTTTTCTAATAGAGAATAAATTAGCATTACAATTGTTATCAATAAAAGCTACATTTGAACATGTTTACCTTGTATCTGAGAACACAAAGGTCAACTTTCTGAAATCATACAGTTTCTTTAATTCTGGGTCATATGTGTGTAGTTTCTGCTACGAGCACTAGGGGGCAGTGATGGGTGCAGTATTTTCATCTTGTAGAGCTGAATTTAAAAGTTGTTGTAAAACAAATAATAATCTTGAAACAAAGCACTAGTCTGTACTCAATTAGGGAGCTGTTAACTTGGAAACTACCTCTTCATGACATCACAAGGTGGAACAGAGAGTTTTGAGCTTTGGAGATGTAAACAGACTAATAATAAAGAGTTAACTCAAACATGTGAATGAAACAAAACACAACTCCAGCTTTAAACTAAACCAGGACTAAATCTAGTCTTACTGCAAAACTAAAACCAGACTACACTAGGACTAGACTAGGACTAAATCAGGACTAAACCAAGACTAAACCAAGACTAAACCAAGAGTAAACCAGGACTAAACCGGGACTAAACCAGGACTAAACCAGGACTAAACCAAGAGTAAACCAGGACTAAACCGGGACTAAACCAGGACTAAACCAAGACTAAACCAGGACTAAACCAGGACTAAACCGGGACTAAACCAGGACTAAACCAGGACTAAACCAAGAGTAAACCAGGACTAAACCGGGACTAAACCAGGACTAAACCAAGACTAAACCAGGACTAAACCAGGACTAAACCGGGACTAAACCAGGACTAAACCAAGACTAAACCAGGACTAAACCAGGACTAAACCAAGAGTAAACCAGGACTAAACCGGGACTAAACCAAAAGTAAACCAGGACTAAACCAGGACTAAACCAAGACTAAACCAGGACTAAACCAGGACTAAACCAAGAGTAAACCAGGACTAAACCAGGACTAAATCAGGACTAAACCAAGACTAAACCAGGACTAAACCAAGAGTAAACCAGGACTAAACCAGGACTAAATCAGGACTAAACCAAGACTAAACCAGGACTAAACCAAGAGTAAACCAGGACTAAACCAGGACTAAATCAGGACTAAACCAGGACTAAATCAGGACTAAACCAGGACTAAATCAGGACTAAACCAGGACTAAATCAGGACTAAACCTAGCCTTATTGCAAAACTAAAACCAGTCTAGACTAGGACTGAACCAGGAATAAAGCAGGACTGAACCAGGTCTGTTTTTGAGGAGGAAACAACATTATAACATGATTTAAACTTCACAGGAGTCAGTTTTGTGTAATGTAGGGCCTTTTAACATTCAGATTTCTCTCAAATGTGAACACTTCTGGACTTTGTTATAATATGATTGAAATTAAAATAAATTAAAAAAACCTGACCCACCTGTCGCTGGTCCGTGGAGAGGCTGGAGCTCTGGAGGTGGAGGCCCTGTGTCTCAGAGCGTTGCCCCCCAGGACCCCCTCCTCGGCCGGGTACAGTCCCTCCATCAGGTCCATGGTGGTCCTGCGGCCGCTCTGGTCCAGGACTTCAGCCAGAGACCGGTCTTTGTCCATGATGTCACGCGCCAGCTCCGCCCTCTTCAGGTCCTCGGCGGCGTGGGCGTCTGACGGGCACAGGGGTGCGGGCGCTGGGGAGGGCAGCCTGGGCAGATTTATTACATTTTAAAGGTTGGTCTACTCATTTTACAAAAACACAGTTGAGATCATTCATTATATTTTTTCCCCAACTTTTTTCGGTTAGGTTTACTTCCCGTGTGTACCGATCACAGAGCAGCGCTGTGGTTTTGAGACGGAAACAAACAATGAAGCGCCTAAACAAACCAAACGCAAACAAACATGGCAGCGCAGATGGAAAAACTTCAGCCTAGTTTTTAGTTTGTGCATTTGTGGAAGGAAAGATGTCTGTGCTTTTCTCTCAGCTGTATTTAACTCAAGGTTAATTTGGTTTCATCACAAAGTTTCTGCTTTTCCCGACCAGAATGATGTCACCTATCAGTCTGCGTGAGACAGGTTAGAACTCCACTGTTTATGAAAGAAATCTCCACTGAAAGAAATGTTGAGTCTTATCATTGTTTGTTTGAGATTACCTCCACAAATTTGTCATAACAACTCAAACAGGGTCTTAAGGTCAACCAGACAGCTTCTACTCCCGGGGTGATGGGGCTTTCTCTGTCTCTGGCCCCAGACTCTGGAACAAAATGCCCCCGATAAGCCAGTATCACAGACTTTGACCTGTTTAAATCCAGGCTCAAAACATATCTATTCAGACTGGCTTTAAACACAGAGTAAGGCTGATACTTTTCACATTTGTTTACAGTTGTTTTTAACGTTTTTCATGTTTCTATACAGTTGATTTTATTGCAGAAGCTCTTTGGGGACCTTTAGTGTTGTAATGGGCTATATAAATAAAGATTTACTGACTGATAATATCCTCCTCAGACCCAGTCCATTCATTTGTGTCCTTTATAGTGGACATTGAGTTAACAAGTTTATCTTTTAAGTGTTTTTAGATAGACTCTTAGGCCCCGTCCACACTCGTACGTATTCGAGTCGTTTTCGTTGTGGATGCAGTGTTCGTTCACACTAATCTGATGGAAAACGGCTCTAGAGACGGAACGATCCGGTGCCGCCAGCTCCCACGAATTCATCTGAGTACGGATCTGAAAACGCTGATACGCTGATGTAGGTCTAAAATAATTCACCGCCAAAACACTAAGAGGCTAGAATATATGTCCATTCATTTATACGATCTGTGTGTACAACCTGCAGACGTATAATCTCTGAAAAGTTTAACGTGAACGCGACAGAAGCACAGAACAGACTCACCATCAGCAGAACATCTCTCTGTCATATTCCACTGAGTCGTGTCCTTTAGTCCAACAGAAACTGAACCCATTAGAGCACAATAGCGAGTGCTCAGTTTATGCAAATGAGCCATGCGGTTTTAAGTTTTGTTTCTGTAAAATGTAAACAAATATGCTCAAAGCTGTGTGGATAGGGAAGACTTGCGGACACAGAAATGACGTGTCTGGATGCAAATAAGTGTAACTGTAGACTTAAACTTAAAGGGGGGTCTAGGTTCCTCTGCCTAAATAGGGCTGAGGGATTATAGGGTACTATCATGTCCAGGATAAAAAAAAAAAATCTCAATAGGATTTGTTTGTGGCTGCACTATGATATTGTTATTATTATTTTTTTATTAAGAAATTAAAATGGAGTCTAAAAACGTTTTGAGGTCACTGTAGAAGCTTGTCAGAGATGTTTGTCCTCAAAAAGTTGATCCAACCTAACAAAAGTTGGATTGAGGACATGTTACAAAATTATAAATAAAAATAAAAATGAACAAATTCTAAATGCTAAGGTGTTCATTTATTTCTAAATAGATCAAATCACCAAAAAATATATTGCAATACACTTTTTTTTTCTTGGGTTCCAGTAGGATATGCCAAATTCGAGTTAGGTCCCTCCACTTACCCCGTCACATGTGAGTTCTGGGACGGTTGTGGGTTTTCTTGTTTTGGGAGCGGAGTGAAGGCACTGGAGGGAGACGGGGCAGAGCAGCCGATGTTGCCCAGAGACGGTGCACTGTTCTGGGGCAGGAGGCAGCGCTCGGGGCCCGTGTCTGAGTGGAGGATTCTCACCGGAACTTTCCTCACGGGGCTGGACTCGCCCTCCGGCCTGTGGAGAGAAACAAGAGGTTCTACATTACACAGAGCTGACTCTTGTGAGGTTTAAGCCGTGTTATAATGCTGCAGGAAGTGCTCCACTGTGTTTTTAAACTCCACACACCTTCTCTAGAATCATTTGGATCATTTCAGTCCTGGAATTGCCGATCTCTGCTGAACTACAGGTAAAAGGAGCTGTTAACTTGAAAACTACAGCTTCATGACATCACAAGGTGGAGCATTTCGAGCTTTGGAGATGTAGACAGACTAAAGAATCACTCAAACATGTGTGAATGAAACAAAAAAACACAACTCCAGGTCTGATTTTGAGGTGGTAACAACATTAAAACATGTCTTAAAGCTCTCAAGAATCCCCTTTAAACTCTCAGAAAAATGCAATTCTTTCTGTGTAAATTGTCTCTGCAAATCCAAATCCACTTTATTTCTATAGCACATTTTACAAACCAAGCAGTTTCCAAAGTGCTGCACAGAGATCTTAAAATGAAGACAACGAAAAGGTAAATTGCTAAAATTTGGTCATACCAGTCCTAAAACAATAAAACCAGTAAAAGCAAATAAAAGCAAAAACCATAAAATCATAAAATAGCAGTAAATAAAAAATGAATAAAATAAATAAAAGATACTATGAGATGCAGATGCTATCCAATCAAACCAAGTCATAATTAGAAAAATATGAAAATGCTCATATGCCCTTTAACTCTGTCGTCCTTTGCGCTGCTTGTTTTCCTGGTTCATTAGTCTCTCGTGCCCTTGTTTACCTCCTCCTCTCCAAAGCCTCTTGTGATGGAGCTTTACATAACTCTGCCTCAGTATAAGCCTCTTACCTGGGGGAGCCTTCGTCTGTGATCCTGCCCGGGCGCAGCTGAGGAGAGGCGGTGTTTGGGTGAGACGTGACGGGCGCAGAGCTGTCTCCCTCTGGCTCCGGCTGGGTTTTCTCTGGCTCCGAGGATGTGGTTTCTGGAGCTAAAAGAGTGGCAGCAGCTCCGGGGTTTGGAGTGTTGTGGGCGTCCAGGAAAGGGCCCTCGTTCCTGGGCGCAGAGGGAGGTGGATGTGGGCTGTGGTCTGGAGGCTGGACCGCAGACTCTGGTTCTTCTCTGGAGAGAGATGGGCAAAATAAAATGACACACAAATATAAAAAGCTAAGGTTTTTCCCTGATTATGTTGTATTTACGTCTAGGAAATAAGCAGTGAAGGTCAAAGGAACGAGCTGTGACTGCTTCTTGTCTCCATGTGACTGCCAGCACTTGGTTTTGGAAGTAAATTTCTCTTTAATTTTTCTCTTAGACCTTCAGAAAAAAAAAAAATAATAATATTGAAACTGTGAAAAGGTCGGGTTTAATCAGCTTTGTGGTGACTAATAACCACAAGACTTATCATTTTTAAATCTGCTTTTTGGATTTAAAACAGGGTATCCCAAATTTAAGACTTTTTTAAGACCCTTTTAAGACCACTTAAATGAAAATTAAGGCCAAAATTGCACCCATTATGCGGGCGAAAAACACCAGATCCAATTCTAACAATGACCAACCAAGTACCGGTGCTTTATCTAGAATCTAAGAGCCACTGTGGATTAAACCAACACTTCCCCAAGATCTATCCAACGTCTTTCTCCACTCTACTGATGGTTTACTCATTGCCATTGGTGCCAGAAACCAAAGTAGTATTTACGCAAATTCCAAATTAGACGTTCATTCACGTTACACGATTTCACGTTGTTGTTTTTTTCCTCCCTCCATTTAACATTGCAGCCCGGTTTGAGTATCCAAAAAAATAGGCTAATGAAATTTAAGACCTTTGTGAAGAAAATAAGACTTGGACGACATCATTAAGGCCTTAATTTAGGAACATGAAATTTAACACCTTTTTAAGACTTTTAAGACCCCGCGGCTACCCTGTAAAACAACCACAACGTTATGGATATTAGTTAGCTCACAATGCCATTTGAATTTTTCAGAGTATCATAGAGATGTTATTGCTCTTCCTGGAATATTCCACAGTATGGCATTAAATAGATCTACCTTACATTTATTGTGTTTATAGCTAAAGATCTGAAGATTTGTAACTTTTGGGGGTCACTTGCTTGTCTTCATTTAGTTTAAAGGGCCAACTAAATAAAAAAATAAAAAATCACTTTTTTTCTACTGATTATCTGTGCAAATGAGTTTAAAAATGGAAGTGTATCTCTATCCCTGGCCTTATTTTGGCATTTTAGTGAATATTTGTTAAACGTCGGACTTTCAGGTCAAAGTCGTGTCTGTAACGGCCTCTTTAGGATCAACTACGGTCGAGGACATTTGAATTTTCAGGTTGGACTAGTGGCCGCCAGCGAGTCAGACGCAGGTTATTACGTGAGGAGCGAAGCCACTGGCGACACTGGCCCCTCCCGCCTGGCACCGTCGGGCACCGTCGGGCACCGTTGGGCACCGCGATGTCCCACTGTGTCTGGAGAAAACGGAAACGGTGTGATCCGAGCGCAAATGTCTGCTCTGTTTCAAAATCAGGAGCACACCGATCCTTGCCGAGCCCGACCCTCAACCCGCCGAACACCAGCCCTGCACCTGCTCCCCCCCAACACGCCGGGCATCACCCACTCTGAAGGATTTTTCAGATTTTGTTTAGGAGCAGATTAAATCTTCGGGAGGATGTTCCATACTTTTGAACATTCCAGATAAACTAATTACTTCTCCATGTAGACAAGCAGATACCAACCCTCCGCCAGAAAAGTTACATAGAGTGACTTCAATAAAATAAAAGCGTGTGTATAGTGATTTCAGTAACGATTATTCTGATGAATCATTCTAGCTCTTTTTCACTTTCTAATGTGAATATTTCCAGAGTGCGTTGTCTGTTTTCTGTGTTTTTAGAACGACAAAAACAACCATCTGACTTGATTTAAACCTTATTTAGACATGTGGTTTGACCAGTGCCTTTAAAGCCTGTCTATTGTCTCCTGTGTTTGTTGTTTCCTGCGCAGCTGCTCTGACAGATAAAACTCACAAAAGGACAGTTTCTCCAACGAGGCTCCAACAAAGTGAGAGTCCATCCAGTTTATCCCAGTCAGTATTATTAGTTTGTAGTATTTATACAGTATATTTCTATACAGGCCTGTCACCATAATTACTCTGTCAACTTATAATTCAATATATAAAAGCTGGAACAATACTTTTTGAGGTCAGTATTTATTGTTTGTACATTTTCTTTGTATTTGGAAACTTCTGGCTATTTTTTGATTTTTGCTGATTTAAGCTGTAAAAGGTTGAATTAATAACTCCTATTACTCAAGTACTGTTATTTATTTATTGCAGCATGTTTTGTAGATTTACCAATAATGTTTGTGGTTAAAATCTGCTCTTGGATTATTGTTAGTGGCACAAATTAGCTTCAGTATTATGGTTATTGTGTATATTTATTTCATCAATATATGTCACTTCAAAATTTGTTATCGTGACAAGCCTATTTCTAAATTTTCAAACAAAATCTTACACAAATCTTACAAAATGTAACTGTAGAAGCCATCAGAGTGCCAATATGTGCAGTTTTCAAGCATTTTAGAGCAGATAAAACTTGTACAGCTTAAAATAACAAGAGATCCAACAGCTTTGCATGAATAAAAGTTCAAATATTATGAATAAAAGTTAAAATATTAAGCCAAAATCGGCCTGTAAATAAAAATAGTCTTATTACATTCAGTTAAAGTTCCAATCATAATATCGGCTGAATCGATATCATGGAGCAGATGCCTGATCCTGCAAATTTTTCAGTATCGGTTCTGATATTTGATACCAGAATCAGTATCAGTGCATCCCTACTTTAAACATGTTTAAACTAATTATATCCAGGTATGTTTGTGATAAGGAAACAACATTATGGCGACTTTATGATGCTTAAGTCAATGTTATTTTTATTCTTTTTTATTTTATCTGGTTTTCCTTTCCGTTTAACTCCAGAAATCCAAATCATGTAGGCCACAGATCAGAGCTTATTGTCTGTTGTAACCGATCCCTCCTCTCCAGGTCGTAAATCTCAAAAACTGGGCGCATTTTTGTACTTTTGGGTGTAGCGGTGAAACGATCCAGAGACGAGACTCGGTTTCAAATATGGCACCAACGAAATACATTCTACATTTTAGTGAGAAGTCAAAGGCCAAGGCAAAGTATGTGTAGGGCAGTGAGTTAAACGTGCTTTTTACTTCACTTTAACTCTTCCTAAATATATGTTTTTTACAGTTGTGTTCTTGTTTACCTGGTCTGGCTGCTCTGTGGGACTGGAAGGTCTCTCCATGGGGAAGAATTATTCTGGAAATACAAAATGAGAAATACATAATTTTATATTTAAAAAAAATAAGCTACAGAATCAGAGGAGAAGAGCCAGAGGAGCAAAATCAGAGGAGCAGAGTGAGAGGAGCAGAGTCAGAAGAGCAGAGTCAGAGGAGCAGAGTCAGAGGAGCAGAGTCAGAGGAATTGAGCCAAAGGAGCAGAGTAAGAGGAACAGAGTTAGAGGAGCAGAACCAGAGGAGCAGAGTCAGAAGAGTAGAGTCAGAGGAGTAGAGTCACAGGAGCAGAGCCAGAGGAGCAGAGCCAGAGGAGCAAAATCAGAGGAACAGCGCCAGAAGAGAAGAATCAGAAGGAAAGCCAGAGGAGCAGACATGATCAGACAGGAGCAGCTCACCGTTGAGTGAAAATCTGCAGATGGGGAGGACCTGGATCGCTCGTGGACACACACAGTTTTCTCATCTGCGTCTAAAATATTTTCCGCTGAGTGAAATCTGCCTTGAGTTTTCGTTTCTTTCTTCTGTTTGTTCCACGTGGCCTGGTACTCGGCGAAAGTCCCCAACCTCTGCAGCTCCGACTGAATTTGACTGCTTTCCTTCTCTGTCTCTATATCGTCGTTGCTCTGGCTTGCGCTGGTCTTTGCTACGGGTTTAGAAAAAGCTGGTTTCGCTTCAGTGAATTTCTTGCGTTCAAAAGACTCCGTCGGATGCCCTCCCTCCACTCCGACCTTGTCCATTTTATCGGGCTCAGAAAAAGAGTGAGTTCGTTTGGCTAAAGGTAAACGCTTCCTGCCTCTTACTCTCCCGTTCGGTTTCACGTTGATCGCCGGTTCTAAATCCCGTCTCTGAAACGAAGTCGCTTGTAAAACTCTGGCTTGAGCTTCTTTTAAATGATCCTTGTAGGTATTTGATATTCCCGTAGTTTTCCAATCTTCACTTTCCTCCTCCTCTTCCTCTACTTCACAGGACAAAGTCGCGGCGCTCCGACTTTTTTGCAACTGTGCGCGTTTTTGTTGGATTTCGTTCCGTAGCGTTGTGGCGTAACGGTCGCTACGCCGGCTGATTTTCCCGCTAGCTGTCGATTCGTTAGATTCCTGGCTCGCTAAGGGTGTCAACGCGCGGTTTTCCTGGGCTAACGAATGGAGCAGGGGAGTTTTTTGCGCCGTGATCCGATGGTCCTCTTGCGGCACCCACGGGTCCTGCTGTCTTTTTACTTCAAGCTGCTTCTTCAAATCGCTTTCTTCTTGATTCCTCGCGACTTCTTTATCAAATTGTAACTGTCCGTTTCGTTCCGGCGGCGGATTGTACAACGTTTTCGCCTTGAAACCTGCTTGCAAACCTGATTCGTTTGCGTTTAACCAGTGCGACTTGTGTGGATCTTGAGCAGGTCTGTAACATTTCCCGACATTTTGAACCACAGACGAGTTCAGAGTCGCGCTTCGCTGATTTTTACGGATATTGGTAGGTAGATCCTGCAGGCTACGGTAATAACTGGCCACGCTTTGACTTTTGGCACTGGGGACTGTTCTCGTTTAAATATAACGGGCTTTCGTCGCTGTACTGTCTTTGGTGAACGGGCTGAGGGCCGAAATGGCGGACGTCGATGCTTGACAGTGAAAAGAGTTTGTTCGGCTGTAACTGTCTGTAGCTTGGATCTGCAGCAGAACTTGGATGCAGCAAATCTTTATTAACCGGCAATGGATTCAAGCTTCTCCTCAGCTCTGACTTATCCTGCTGATTTTTGAGATTATTATCAAACAAATGCTCCGCGGAATGGTTGTGGGGTTTTTGAGGAACGTCGGTAAATGGGAAGACTTTAGTGGCGGCGAAACTGTCACTTCTTAACGGAGGAGGAGGCGGAGGAGGGGATTGGGACTTTTTCTTTTCCGGGATTTGCCAAACAGGAGTGACATTGGGTCTTCCTCCCACGGAGAGACGAGACATGGGCTGGTCTTGCGTCCCCTCCCAGCCGCCGTTGCCCAAAAACCTCCCTCTCTCCTGATGCAGTCCCTTGAAGAAGATGTTCTCGGAGCTGGTTCCTTTTCTGAACGGGGGGTCGTGGACGCTGGGGTTTGTCAGAGAGCCGAGGGTTGGTTCTTGTTTGCTGTTGGGAACGTCAGACTTCTTGGAATTGGAGTATTTCATCGGGGTTAAAGGGTGAGAGGAGAAGTCCAGTCGCTCCATGGGTTTGGCTGAGGTCAGAGCCGTGGTTAAAGGCTGACGCTGGACCTGCTCGTCTGGAGATGGAGAGGGGGATTTGGACCTAAACACAAGAAGCACAGTTTAGTATGAACATTTGGTCCCTCGTTTATCGCGGGGGTTACGTTCTAAAAATAACCCACGATAGGTGAAATCCGCGAAGTAGTCAACTTTACATTTTACAATTATTATATCTGTTTTAAGTCTGTAAAACCCCTCACCACAAACTTTATACACTTTTCTCAGACAGGACAGTTATAATCCTTTTGGCATCCTTCTTAAAATTTATCGCTGCTGTCGTTCTTTTGTTATTTTCCTCCTTCTTTATGTAACGAACCAAAAATTTATTTATTCCGTAATGGAGCCTACAGCGCAGAGTCCTGCACGGGTCCATTTTTGGAGACCCGCACCCGTGCAGTACAGCACCGCTCCTGCCCGTCAACCCGAGATTATATCAAACTTTTGCACTGCCTACGCCACGGACTGAACCAAGAATAAACAAGGACAAACCCAGGACTAACCCAGGACTGATTCCAGGACTGAAGAGGAGGACTAAACCAGGACTGAACTAGGACTAAAACAGGAGTAAACCAGGACTAAACTAAGACTAAACCAGAACTGAACCAGGACTCGCTGTCGGGATAGGCTCGGAGGTGACCACAGGAGAAAGGACCGACAGAGAGCTCCGCATCTCAAAGAGGTAAGCGCGGCAATTGCCCGATCGCGCAGCACTTCAGAATGACACTGCTACAGATCGAACTTTTATGTAAATTTGGCAGCCGAACGCATTCTGTACTGTACAAGAGACACGGCACGGAGGACACTGATTGACAATGGTCTAAAATCCCGCAGGGGGAGGAACACAATATGCGTTCAAATGCTGTAAAAAAAAAAAAAACATGCAAAATTGTACAAAAAAAAAATCTGCGAAACAGTGCGACCACGAAAGGTGAACCGCGATTTAGTGAGGGAAGACTGTAATACAATTTTGACACAATCTGACCATAAAGAACTGACTTAGCTGGAACTACAACAGATGAGCTGATTTGTGCTGCTAAAACAAGTCCCTCTCTTGCACACAAAATGTTGAAGTGTCTTGCCTTGTGTGGCCACACTTTATTTGCCCCCCTGGCGCCCTCTGCACAGCCCCGTGGTACTTTCCCCGGTGTAAAAGTGTTTGTAGTCATCTGATCTAAAGGTCTGTTGTACCTGGCGTCATGTTTGAGCTGCCACACAGGAGCCGAGGAGGCCTGTTTCCCAGAAGTCTCCTCTTCTGTCAGCTTCGACGAGTGCCAAGAGTGAGGCCGTGACCCCGAGCCATGCTTCCTGCAACCGCAACAAACCCACATCACTCGCACTGTTTTAACACCACACTTTTTTCCAGTTTACTGTTGTCCAAAACATATTCTAAACTTTTGATTCATGAAAGTGTTGACCTTTGGCAGATATAACAGCTGAACACACTCGTGGCTTGCTCTTTTTACAACAGAAATCAAATATTCTTCAGAAAGTCTGTTGCAGAAGTTCCCATGAATGTGTGGCACTTGTAGGTTGCTTCACTCTTCTGTCCATCCCCCTGTTCATCCCAAAACCAGCTTAATTCGGTTTAAGTCTGGAGACTGTGCTGGACACTCCATGTTTTCAAGCTTTACCATTTTGTTCTTTTTTTCCTGAGGTGGTTTTGGCAGAGTTTGGATTTGTGTTTTGTTATATTTTATCTTTTTTTTTTTAACCTCTGGCCGTTCAGTTCTTACCTTTGTACCATTTCTAGCTCTTCATTGGACTTGCACGACTTGAATTGCAATAAATAACTGGAAAAATGAGGATGTTCTCAAACTTTTTACTGGTAGTGTAGGCCTAGATGGGCAATAAACCACCTTCAAGATAATGTCCAAATAATTGTTTTTAAGTTATGCAAAATACAAGTTTAGAAAGTCACATTTCTGCCTTTTCTGGCTTATTTTTCAGCCAAAATGACCAACTTTTACACTTACATACCCTTTGAATCGATTCCTCCTTGAACGCATGGTAAACAGAGACATGTTGAGTTAGCATTACAAAAAATAACAGTTTCACAGCCCATAGAACATGAGTACACTACTTTGTCGATACACATTTACTATGATTATAAACTGAACAGCTTTATGGGACAGAAAGTTTGTGTTAAGACGTCAAAAAAAAAAAAAAAAAAATGCTCATGCTTGTAGAGGAACATGTCCTCGGCATTTGACCCGTTCTTCAGTGTCTCTGGGTTAAACCTGTCAGAAGCAGTGGGACCCATCTCCAGATCTTGGTCTAGTCTTGGTCAGGACTGCCTTAGCTGGAGAATTTGACCTTTTATTGTGCATGTTTTTGGATTAATGGAGGGAACTAAAGGAAACCGACCATAGACATAGGGAGAGCAGGCAAGTTTTACCTAGTCCATAGTCCATCCGTAGCTGGAGGATTAGACTACCGTGCATATTTTGTTGGGGTACTACTTCTACTCTACTAAAATGAACCACATCTACTCAAAGCAAATACTAAATCACAAAAAGCACAGATGTTTTCACTGGTCTAACACAGAGGGGAAATAATACCTCATGGAACTTCTTAAAATCTTGGTGAGAAAGTTGCGAGCCACGTGCACCTCTGACTCAGACGGCATCGCGGCTCGAGGGGCTACGTCCACCATATTTTTGTCCTGTAGGGGGCGCCACGCAGCAGGGGAGAAAAGATAGGGACCAGAAATGTTACACTTTTTTTTTTTTACATATCTGGGAGGGTTTGAGAGTTATATGCTCTACATTTCCTGTTTAATAGCATAGTATTGGTTTAGGTCAGTGTTTTGTCCATGATTTACTACTACTACTACTTCAACTACTGCTACTAATACTAATACTTTTCCTCTGATTATTGACAATTAGAAATGATTAAAACAAGATCTCATTCCATATTTAAAACTGACACTTTAACCTCTTATGTTCTGTGAAGTACAAGTGAGAAGATAGTTGGAGTAGTAGTAGTAGCAGCACTAGTGATAGTAGCAGTAGTAGTAGTAGTAGTAGTAGTATCTTGGACAGTAGACAGTTCTTTCCCCTCCAGAGGAATTTGGCAGCTTTTTTCCGGTTCATCCTTCAACACAAACAGAACTCCCACAGGTCTCTCTGTTAAACCGGAGAGGTCAGGACTTGAGACTTTTGGCTTAGAATGAATACTGAACTATTTGCTCACAGTTTAGCAATTCAAATATGACCAGCCTACTTATCCCTGTAATAACATCAACATTAAGGCAAACAGATGCAAACTACAGGTATCAGAGTGATATAAGACAGAATATTTAGTTTTTTGCAGAGGATATGGAAATAATGGCCATGTTAAACTCGATTACAGCCTTATTTATGGGTTGAATAGTTATGGAAAAATACACTGGGAAGAAAACTGACAATGGAATAACCAGGGCTGCGCTACATGGCATTATCTCTTCTGACAATACACATTAATACAAGATGCTGTCGCGTGTTAAACAACGTTAATTTGTTATAAATTGTCGAGTTTTACATGTAAATACTCACTGCTGTCTGCATTAAGCCTGAATCTGCTGTTATTTATTTAAGCAGTTATTTTGTAGTTATTTATAAATTAATTGTGTTCTGACATTATGGGCTTTATGGACATAAAATTTCAATGCATTTTGTTACACTACATCAGACATGTAAAACTCTGGCCTGCAGTATAATTATATCTGACCCGCGAGATCACATCAAACATGTATTCGAGCTCCCCCGCCAGCTACAGATAGACTATAGAGACATTATTTATTTAAAATGTTGTTATTTTATATTTGGTTTGTTCTGGATTCAATGTTTAAGCAAAACTAATATTAAACATTTATTTTAATAAGAAAAGGATTAACATTACATATCGCAAACGAAGAGAAAACATGAAAACCTGCAGATGTTGCTGACATTTTTTAATAAATATTTAGTTTGGCCCGTTTAGTTTAGTTTAATTTCGGCCCTCGATGAATTTAAGTTTGACACCCCTGCTCTACATAAATAAAAGAATTTAATGAACTTTTAAAGGTCATATCTTACACAAAACTGACTCTTGTGAGCGTTTAGCAGTGTCTGAATATTGTTACCTCCTCAAAAACCTGGAATGTGTTTTTCTTATTTGCTTATTATTAGTCCCAATGCTCAAAATGCTCTGTTCCACTTTGTGATGTCATGGCGTGGTAGTTTTCAAGTCAACAGCTCCTTTTACCTTTAGTTCAGATGAGATCGGCAATTCCATGGTTGATATGATCCAAATGATTCTAGTGAAGGTGTGTGGAGTTTAAAAACACAATGCAGCACTTCTTGTATTACTACATGACATCACAAGGTGGACCAGAGTGTTTGCTGTTTGAGAGAAAAAACTGTTTAGAACATAGAACAGAACAAAGTGTAATATGGGCCCTTTAAAACATTTTTTGAGATATGCCTGTATCTGGTTACGTAATATATCACGGACTCTGTATCAGTGAGCTTCTTGGTAATATTTTTGTGAGTTTTTTTGTCTCCTAAAGTAAAGTATGTTGCCATGACGTGCTCCTCTGTGTACCTTCAGATAGGTTTCTCTGTGCGCGGACAAAAGAAATGCTAACGTTAGCTTTTGTGCGTCTCTGTCATAGATCTGTACGAGAGCAACATGAACCAGGCTCGATTCAACGGGAGAAACTTAAACACACCTGACCCAGCTTTCTCACAGAGACTTCACTGTGTCAGCCCGGGAACAGCTGTCAGGACGCAGCATATGTAGGTCTGTCGCAACAATAACTAACATACCACCAACTACAACAAAAAAAATCAGGCCCAAAGACTGTATAGATAAGTGGACATAGCTAAACAGGAAGTGAGTATTGGCGCGCTTCCGGCTCCATCGGCTCTGGCTCTAAAACATTGTCATCTCTTGTAAACAACCCGGAGTATAATTTGCCTTCGTGAAAACCTCTTTTGACTCTATTTTTTATACTGCACTCTTATATTTTGTTGTTGACCATTTTGCGCTTTTATTTTGAAGGGCCTATTTACGTTTAGTGCAAAAATGGTTTATTATTAGCTTTAACATCGAGAACGGCAAAAGACCTTACACGGAGCAAATATTTATTTTTTATTTTCTCATATATTTTCTATGCCTTTGTTTAGCTACCCCCTCCGAAGAGAGATGTATTTATTTATTTTTGGAACTTTTATTGCCACAAATCAAGTCACATCAACAGTGTTCTGAGACCGGGCCTTCAAACAATTTATATATTTACTTTTTTTTACCCCCTCTTCTCCCTTCTAGAATAAGAAATGAATTTTAAATGAATAAAAACTAAATAAATAAGGCATGTTAGGGCATAAGTGTCAGTTCCATTGGATAAACTTGTCTGATTTTTAATATCCACTGATAAATGGTCGGTGTTTCTGTTATTGATTTAAATATTTGTTTTGAATAACTTTGTGTCTCTGTCATCTTGGTTGATTTGTGTTGTCAAAATGAATGTAAAAGATAAGCTAAAGTTACACTAAGTTTTGTGTATTTGTATTTACACACTGTATTTTGTATTCCTTTTAGCTCTTACTGAAGGATTTATTGCCATTAAATCTTAAAATCGCCAGTTTAAGTGCGTCTTTCTGTAACTGCTGCTGTGAGAATCGTCATTTTGTTCTTAAAATGTTCATATTTACCAGCTCTACATAATCCTGGGGTTTGTATTTCTCTACACTCTACTGTCTGTAAATAAATTCCTATTCCTATGGGTGACGTCACAGTCCCTCAGACCATTTCTTCTTCAAAACTAGAACTAAACCAGGTCCAAACAAGACAATACTGAAAAATCACAGTTACCATGGCCAAAATAACTGTGATTATCGATAATATCACGATAATTAAAAATGTGATTTATAAATACATTCATAATTTCCTATTATAAATACCTGGGTCTTTTTGTTTGGGGGTCTGTCACCTGTTTGTTTCTATGGATATGTCGTTGATCTGCCTTGAATGTTCCACAGTAGGACATTAAACGGCTCTACCTTACATTTATTCAATTACAACTGGTTTTATAGCTCAAAAATACCAAGAAAAATAAGCATTCTTGGTCTAATTTAGTCTCGATGAACAAAGAAAACTTTCCAGACAAAGCAATAACCTCTCTACTAAAATATTTGACAGACCCCCCACCCGAAAAGTTACACAATGTAGCTTTAGCCACAGCGTTGTGAAATCAGAAGAGTCTAATGCATTTAATGAGATTGGGCCCCGGGTCACTTTTCACAGAAAAAGTTGGGCCCTGAGGTCAAAGGTTAAGAGCCCCT